TATCTCTAAAAACCCCAAAAAATAGTTTTCGACGCTGATCGTTGACGCTAATTTCCGGGACATCATAAAATCAAATAAGTAAAAATAAAACAAGTATGAAGTAATTTGAACAATGAAATGTTCTCAACACTGGTTACTGTACAAGAGTTGAAATAGAATTAAACTCATAGCAAACATAAATTTTCTTCGCAAAAAAAGCAAAAAAAAAAACATGAAGGGAAAATTAAATATTAACCTCAAATAATGGAACATATATTACTAAAGACTTTCAAGAAAAGTGTCACCATAACGGATAGCACAAGTTGGTTGAGATAGAAAGAGAAAGAGAGAGAGATGGAGAGAGAGAAAAGAGGAGAGAAACTTTAGTCGACATGAGTAGTTGAGTACAACTTTTCAATGTTAGAAAGCGGGACATTTTTCTTTCCGCATGTTTTCGAAGGAAGCGATTTCATGGAAAGGAAGTAATAACGACAAACTTGCTAATTCAATAGGAATTTACAAAATGTATACATCTCTTTCTCTCTTTCTCTCATTTTTACACGACATTTAATTTTTTTCAAACCGAAACTTGTGCGAACAAACATCCTCTCACTATAATAACAATGTCAACACATTCAAAATCATTTTGTACCTCTCTTGGTTTTAGAGAAGAAAATGATTCCTTTTTCTAAAAGCGACGAAACCGACAAAAGAACCTTTTATTCAAATATATAGTCAAAGAATATAAACGTCTCAATTCGTCAGAATAAATATGTACGCTTGTCTACTATAATTTTTCATGTATGAACCATATATTTTTTTGGCATTTCCTCTTTTTCTGGTGGATTAATAATAACTTTAAAAGTATGTACACTTTTTCCATATGTAAAATAATTGAAAGCTTTCAAATATTTAACTCATGTATGCACATTGTATCAAGATTAAATTCACATCCAAATATCGATCGCTTTGGTAATGTGTTGTAAAACTACTTGTAAACTGAATAAAATTAATGTGTGTGCAAGCAAATTGATCATATTTGCATCTATAATTTTACTTTACTTATTAATTTTATCAGTTCTGCTTGTTATCAGAGATATAATCGCTATTAATTAACAACTATTTAAAGTTGTTTTTTAAACACTCAAGAAATGAGAGCAGCGAAAGTTGATGATTCGGAGTAAAAAGAAAAAGAAACTTCAGACATTAGGACTTTTTGTTCATTCACAAATGTCTGTATTTATTAATTTTGAACGGTGTAGCGTTCAAAATTGAGAGACCACCCAGTTTTTGATACAAAATGGAAAACAGCTTTAAACATTAAAAGTATGTTAATTAAATTTCTTCTCATTTTTGAAATAATAATAAATTTACACCTTTAAATCCAGAAACTTTTAATTTAAATGTTTGAACATTTTGAGTTTAAACAGTGAAATGGAATAATTTAAAAATTCAAAGTGAATGAAGACAGTAAAATAATTGCCATTTTCAGCACTAGGAATAAAAATAAAATTCAAAATTAAAAGTACTAATGGAAATATCGTCGTTCGAATGGACTTTCGAAACTTTAGAGGCAGAAACAATGAAATAGATAACAATTTAAAAAACACAAGGGAAAATATTTATTTAAACTAACAAAAAGAATAATATTTCAAAAATAGAAAAAAAATATGGGAAACGCTGTGAAGCCTGCTACAGTAACGTACAAAAATTCCACTAAAATATTAACGTATTTTGGAAAAATTGATAAACTGTTCGTGTAACTCTATACACCCTGTTGAGGGGACACGTTTGAAATGTCGATTTTTAAATAATAAAAAAACTCCAAGTCGTGACTCGTCATTTGTCCCGTAAATATTGGATGATCAGACAAAAAAGAAATAGTCGAATTTACCTCTAGTGTTACTTTTTTCAGAAACCATGTTTTCCAACTATTAGATATCCATTATAGACAAAAAGAACACCTCGTGTGCCCATATATATGAATCGTGTATTCTTTACACATTATTATATTTCAGAGTATTATCCCTTTCCAACAGGTCAAATGCATCTTTCTCTTTTCACTTGATGGTTTACCGTAATAAATATCTATTCACATTTTGATTGATGTAGGTTCATCCATTAGTTCTTTTACTATTCATGATGACTTTTTTAAATCAAAAACTTTCCTCCTCGCAACACACAAGGATAATTTTCTCCAACTACAATTTTCAAATTAATGTCAGTCCACATTCATTTGTCAAGTGTGTGATTTTCCGTATTAAAATAAGAGAGGGAGAAATTGATATTTGTGGTTAGGTTTAAAAGAATTACGTAAGTAAATATATAATAAGGAGAATGGCTCTCATTATGCATGGTTAACATTGCAAATAAAGCTACACACAATAATATTGCACTTCATAAATGTGTTCTCTGAAAACACTTGCAAATAACGAGACTAGGAATGATGAAGTGCGTTTGGTTAATTGTCCCAGTGTGAGTATGTGTGTGTACACACCTTCACCTATAACTATCAACCATTCATATTGGATCGATACTGATTTACAGCCCTTCGCCTCTCACATGTAAATTCCATAATAATTATTACTCTGGATTATAAAAGCCTTCTTGAGAGCGAGAGAGAGAGAGAGATTTTCGAGTATTACACAAAGAAAGGGAAAAAAATCTCTATATCTCTCTAACCGATTTATATTTGAACAGACATCAAACATTTTTCCGCATTTTTATCTATTCCTGTTGATAAATCTGTTTCCTTATACTGTGTAGAGTGCAAACACAAAACATCAATATCCGGAGAGTAAAAATTAGTGGCAAACAAAATTTTCACCATTCTAAAGTAAATAAATACCAAAAAAAAGTGTTCGAAACGCACTTTTTCTTTTGTTTAAAAAGTAAACATTCGCAATTAAATAAACACAAAGTCGTATTCGCAAATAAAAATAGTTTTCGACAAACGTAAATTAACTTTATGAATTTCTTTCCGGAGATGCTTTAAATAATACGAAAATATTGATCCATGTAAATAAAAATACGTCGACAAATTTTTGTTTTATTAAAAATAGAGTTAGTTTTTTATAGACATCTCTCGAAATTCTAAACAAGCTTTTTGTTATTAAATCAATGGTTTGAAATGTAACATTTTTATTTTGTTCCCTGAAGTTATAGCGTCGACGCTGAACATCGAAAACAACTTTTTTCCACAAAATAGAAAAAAACAAATATTTCAAAGTGCCCTGATGGTTTTTTAATTCTTATATTGAATGAAAGAAGTGAAATTAGTGCCATCTTCGTCTCTAAAAACCCCAAAGATCCTAAAGTTCTGAACGTTCAAATGAACGAAATTTATTTATTTCTTCTACAAATTAAATTTTTATTGCAATTATTTTGCGTCACTATCCAAAAAATTAATAACTGAGTTTCTAACCGTAAATATTTCAGTTTTTAAATTTTTTGTGATTAGTAATTTATAAAAATATCTTCAATAAAAAATATTTCGTTCATTTGAACGTTCAAAACTTGAGGATCATAAACCCCAAATAATAGTTTTTGACGCTGAAAGCCGACGCTAACTTCAGAGACATTTTTATTTATATTTATAATATAAATAAATATTACTTATCGGTAGTAATACAAGAAAAGTTAATAATCACTAAAATAAGAATATAAAAATTTAATAGTTAATACAAGAATCTTCAAAATCTTTTCCAAATTATTTAATTAAAATTTATGTTACTTAAATTAGCGTCGACGCTCAACGTCGAAAACTATTATTTATGGTTTTTGGAGCTGAAAATCTCACTAATTTTACTTTTATTATTTATTTTAGGAATTAAAAAACTAACTTTTTTTAACCTAAAACCTTCTAAACTATTGTTTCTTTTTTCGATTTCGTGAAAAAATTTTTTTCGACGCTTAGCGTCGCCGCTAACTTCAAAAAACTTCAAATTTTGAAACTTCAAATAAAAAGAATCATAAACTTTCGAAAGTTCAAAATGAGCGAAAATTTTTAATAAATTACTAATTGTAATGAAAATAAAAAAATTAAGTTTATATTTAAAAACTCTATAATTAATTTTATTTATATAGCCGCAAAGTTATGTTCCCTAAAGTTCCAAACGTTCAAATCAACGAAATTTTTTTATTTTTCTTTCTAAAATTATTAAAATTTCATTATAATAATATTGTGTCAAGTATTAAAAAATAATTATTAGAACTTCAAACGGTTTAATTGAGGTTTTTTGGTTTTTAATATATTATTAAGTTTTGTAATTAATCTTTAACAGTATTTATATCGAAAAAAATGTCATTCATTTGAACGTTCAAAACTTTAGGGATATGGATTTGCTTTTTTTGTAAAACTAAGTAATTTTTAAAAATGTTATTGGAAACAAATTTCGTTTATTTGAATATCAAATAATGCAAAAATGACATTTGTTTATCTAAGAATTAGTTTTTGCTTCCTCATAAAGAAAGGATTGTAGTATTTAGCTTTATTAAAAAAAAATGTTTACTTACATAAAGAATAAGAGTACACCCTCAAAAAAGTATTTTTTTTTTAATAAATTCAATTTTCCTAATGTTTTGAACGTTAAAATAAACAAAATTTTGTTAAATTATTTTTTAAAATTACTTTACAAAAAAGAAAAATAAATAAAATCAAACATTTACTTAGTTAAAAATTAGTTCATTTTAAAATTCAAAATAATCTTTTTATAAAAAAAAGAAAAATAAAAAAAATATCGTCTGTCATTAGAATATTCACAACTTTAGGAACATTAATTTCACGATTAAAAAGATTAAAATTATTTAAATTAAATCAATTAATAATTTCAATTATATATTCAAATTACCTGTTTTACTAATATGTTATTATTTACGTTAAAGAAAGAATGAAAACATTTGAGTTTCGAAAGAATAATAAAAAGAGGAATTTGTCCTTGAAATAAAAAAAACACTTTCTTGTGGTTGTATTCATTTTTTGCTAAATATACTTGTCAATGTAAATAATTATAATTTCTAACCTTTTAAATTTTTTGGTAGGATGTTTATTTTCTTGAAAAATCTATTGTCGAGATTAATATTGCATTCCTATTCGTAGAAGAATTTTTATATCCAGATATCCTTGAATTGTTTTAGATGTAACACTTCCTTTTTTTGGGATGAAGTCTAGCACCCCCCGTTGATCAACTCGAAACTTATAACGTATACCACACGCGGCTTTTTCCCGCTGTCTTTCTGATTTTCTCACACGCACAAAATATGCCGGCTGTACACACACGCAATAACACTTCGGGTTCTCTCTTCTCTCTTGTAATCTATCTCACTATCTATATCACTCCTTCATCCTTCTTTCTTGCACTTGGCTGCAGGACGTGCCAACTGCCGTCGTCACTGCTAAACAAAACAATACACTAATAACTGAATCACACAAATTTTTTGTTATTTTCTCCGTTTTCACTGTCTCTCTCTCTCTCTCTCTCTCCACTTTTAACACTTGGGAATAAATTATCAATAATATTCTCGGAGGAATTTCAGTTAAATTGAGATAAATTTCTTTTAGAGAAAAAATAACAATTTGATAAATGTCATCAAAGGATGATTGACGAAGAGGTAAGTGACGAGAAATATTTAAAAAGGAGCGTTGAGAATAGTTTAGAAGAAAGAAAAGGGTTAGGAAACGCGATCGATAGACAAAACGTTGAACCTTGGTCAATTTCTCTTTGCGTCAATTCATCATGGGTTCCTGGGTTGAAAATTATAGTGAGCCAGTATGGCGCCGATATCTCGCCCTGTCTTCTCACCTTCGAGGTCATCCACTCGTTCGTCCCACAGATTGACCTGGACGGTGGGCCGTCTTCAAATGTACACTTACGAATTTGAAATGTTTTAATCTCATGAATACATATGCACGAAGCACCGGTTGCTTCCAATTCCTCGAAAGGATCGCACGAGTGTTGTGATCGTTGACAGCTCGAGGGTGGGGAGAAAAGGTGTGATCACCGGCGAACGCATTGAAGAATGCGAATAATCAAAAGGATTGCCATACAGAATTTTACCACAGAAGGTAAAATTCCTGGAGAAATAAATATAATGTAAAAAAAGGGACAAAGGGCGGAGGGCATAAGAGTGGGCGTTCGAGTAGGAGAGTGAGAGAAAGAGAAAACGGAGAGGATAACCAAGAAAATTGAGGCTTGTGCCTCCCACACGACACACACAAGACACCGGAGTGTACCCGGACACTATCACTCAAACGGCGTGTTGTGTATACTAACACTTTTTTTTAAATCGAATTTCTCACCTGAGGTCGTTCCTCGACTTGGTCCTTTCGTTTAGTACCGGCCTCCCGAAGACGTCAACGATGACGTCGTCTGGTACTGTTATCACTAGAAAACTCAGAATCGCGCACGAGCAGCGTCCACTGTCCTGCCGTACACAATTCGGCCGACGGCGGCGCGCATTCCCGGCACTAAAATGGCGATCGAAGTGACAGCTCGCCTCGCTTCGAACCGGACCTCCCTTATTGAAAAATCTTGCCCACGACAATCAAGATCTTCCACAAGTTGGAAGAGAAACGGAAACCGTTTAGATTTTTCACCTTTTATTTTAATCCGATTCACCCACAAATACTGTGATTTTTCTCTGTGATGGCGGCGAGATGATTTACTCCCTTTGCCGTTGAACGCGTTAGCACCGACCTAACCACTAGTTCTACTTGCCCGGACTCACAGGATTCAACTGCTGAGCTCCGCCGGCCGCTCGGCACTTGCGCTGAACCCACACCCCACACTGGTGGCATTAGTGACGTCGAACGCCGTTAGAGGCGCCACTTGCCCATAGACCCGAACCATCAATTTTTTACCGCGCTTTTCAAATTACAGGAGAATTATATTAAATCTAATTTCAGTAATTATTTATTCTAGACATGTAATAACAAATATTAATACTTATTTATTAAATATTTATAAATGCATAATATATATTTATGAAATTTGTTGTGTTTTATTTACTATTCATAAAATTATATTTTATTATAAATTATATTTATAAATTAAATTAAATAATATTTATTATATATATCAAATATTTAATACTTTAATAATTCCCATTTCATTTTTCGACAAATTCTGTCAATATGCACAGAAGACTAATTGACCAATATAATGTAATAAAATTAAATGTAGTAATTAATAATCAATTAATTAATAACTAATTAATTAACTAATTAATAACCCCTTAATAGAAAAGCAATTTTCTACAAAGTTTATAACCTTTATTTATATTTCATTGTTAATTTCCAAAGAAGAAACAAATAAACAGAAAAAAATTTAACTTTGAATTGCAAAATACGACCTTGAAAAAGGATGTTGAATATTATTTATGTGGAATTTAGTGCACGCGGTTTGGAAAAATATCCAGCGAAGAGGTCCGACCAGGTATAAGAAGAGTAATTAAGAATTTAAAAGGGAAAAAAGTTTATGACAGTTCTATATTTATAATATATAGATTCGATGAGAACTGAAAAAAATGCAAGACAACTATAGAAAAATAGTTACATATTATATTATCAGTTAATTTATTTCCAGTCAGATTTTTCCCTTTAATAAATATTCTAAAGGATAAATAAATTCCTAGTTTGTGTTAACGAATGTTTTACACCTTCAATAAGATTTTACGACCACTATATATCTATATATCGAAGGGTCTCCTACCTAATAGGTTCTCGGCCTATTGTGTGTATATATATGTATACTAACGGCAACCTTTATTTTTATTTCTTCCTAAAATCCTAAATGGGATTCGGGGCCCAGGATTGCCAGGAAATTGCGCGGTCCAACTTGCGGGTTATTAAGGCTTTTATGTTCACTGTATTTTTTTATCCCTTTAAAAAAAATTGTCTTTGAACATTCCGGTTACTTAGTTTAGTGGACAAAAGATAATTATATAGCAATAAGAAAAATATTTTGTTTGAAAAAGTATTTTTTAGTACTGCAAATTATTTTCTAAAAATTCCAATTGAAATGGAATTTTTTTCTAAATTAGTTGTTACATGTAATCGATCAGTTGTCTATTATTAAATAAATATTAATATTTATAAATCAATACCAAAGTAAATATTATTACACGGAGAGAAAATTATATTAATTAAATTTTGTAAAACACAATTTGGGGGGAAAAATACGACAAAGCGAAATTTTGATATAAAAAACACTAAACTTAAAAGAAAACTTATGTGAAATTTTGTATACCTAATTATATCAAATATAATAATTTTAGTTAAATTTTAATATAACTTTACTAAATTTCATATTACTTCTTTGACTGTTTAGTATTTTAATACTTGTATTGATACATATACTTCTGTTTAAAATTTAGAAATTATTTTCTTCAATTACAAATTATTTGAATAAAATAAAAAATATTCTTTAATAAGACCTTTAACAAGACTTCTCTTCGAGGGGGTATTTACTGGTTGAAAACGTGTACACTCCAATACACTTATTACGCTAAAATTACACTTATTACCAAGTATTACAGGGTATTACAGGGCAATACAGAGATATTTCTAGGTATTACACCCACGTAATAACGTACTATTACGCCCTATTACGCGATATTACACGACTATTACAAGAAGAGTGTACACTCCAATACGGGAGTATATACCCCCTCGCTTCTCTTATTATTTAAATTAATTGAATTAGATTAATTTTAAATAAATTAATTCAAAATTAATTAAATTTAATAAAAAAATTGAAAACCTAAATCCAATTTAAATTAAATTGAAAGAATTGAATCAATTTTAAATTAAATTAATTCAATTCAATTAAAAGAATTGAATCAATTTTAAATTAAATTAATTCAATTAAAAGAATTGAATCAATTTTAAATTAATTGCATTAAATTGAATTAATTCAAAATTGAATACAAAATTAATTTAATTCAATTTAAAAAATTGAATTAACTGATTATAATTGAATTTATTAAAAATTAATTGTAATAAGTTGAATTAATATAAATTTAATGGAAGTAGATCGACTTAATGCAAATTTAATGGAATTAAATAAAGAAGATCAATTAATTCAATTTAAATTGACTCAAATATAAATGATTCTAAATTAATTGAAATAATTTCAAAAAATTAAATGCATTTTTAATTAATTTAAATTGAATTTATTAGGCACAAATTAATTGAAGTAACTCAAAATTAATTGAATTTTATTAAAAAATTGAAGTAATTAATTTAACTTAAATTAATTAATTAAGTAGAATAAATGCAAAATTAATAGAATTTTATTGTTAAGGGCATTTGAACCATGATGACGTCACACTTTAGAACACATACTTTGCAAAACTGTGACGTCTGTTAGCGAATAGTCATCAAGTGAGAACGAATATTAAAATAAGTACGAATATTTCCGAAAATATACGAAATAGGCGCGCGATAGATTGAAGGTACGATTAGTAATTTAGTACGAAACTGTAAGCGAATGAATAAGTATGAAGTGCGAGTCCGAGTGCGAAATTAACAATGTAATAATCGAAGAATCAGTTCTAAAACTATTGTGAGATTAATCGCATATTCAATTTACTTTTCTTATATTAAATTCTTTATATTTTCTTAATTAATTGTGTTATTTTATTTTATCATACTGAAAATCTTCACCACGTGTTCCTTACAATAATCCGCTATTACGTCATAATGGTTCAAATGCCCTTAAAATCGAATTTATTCAAAATTATTTCACTTAAATTGAATAATAACAAAATTAAACGAATAAAAAAATTGAATGAAAACAATTTCATTTGACTTGAATTGAATTAGTGCAATATTTATTGAATTCAATAAAAAAATTTAATAAATTCAATTTAAATTATTTTAAATTGAATTAATTATAAAACAATTGAATTAAATTGAAAGAATTGTATGAATTTTAAATTACTTAATTTTAATTGAATTTATTAAGAGAATTAAATTAATTTTAAATTAATTGAATTTAATTTAATTTATTAAAAATCAATTGAAATAAATTGAATTAATACAAAATTAATAAAATTAGATCAAATTAATCCAAAATTAATTGAATTAATTTCCAAAAATGAAATGCGTTTTTACTTAATTGATTTAAAAATTTATTAAAAATTAATTGAACTAACTTAAAATAAATTAAATTATATTAAAAAATTTAAGTAATTACGTAATTTAACATAAATTAATTCTAAATTAATTGAATTAAATTGAATAAATACAAAATTAATTGAATTTTATTGGTAAAAGTGAATTTATTCAAAATTATTTCACTAAAATTGAATTATTATAAAATTAATTTAACTAAATAAAAAAAATGAATGAAAACAGTTTTATTTGACTTTAATTAATTTAATTTTTAAATGACTTGAATTTAAGTAATTCTAAACTAATTAAAAAAGTTGAATGCCTTTTTCAATTAATTGATTCAAATAATTTTTTTTTGTAAATTGATTGAACCAACACAAAAGTAATTGAATTCTACTAAAAAGTTTATCAAAAAGTTGAAGTAATTCAATTTTAATTGACATAAATTTAATTCTAAATTAATTGAATTAAATTGAATCAATACAAACTTCATTGACTTGAATTTAAATAATTATAAATTAATTGAAAAAGTTGAATGCTCTTTTTAATTCATTGATTTAAGTTAAAATAATTAAAAATTAGTGGAATTAATACAAATTTAATTGAATTCTTTTGAAAAAATTGAATTTATCCAAAGTTAATGGAATTTAATTGAATTAAAACAAAATTAATTGAATTAAAAAAATTTTAAGTAATTCTATTTTAATTAATGGACTTACCTACATTAATTTAATTTAAAAAATTGAATTAATTCACAACTAATTGAATTAAATTGAAAAAATTGAATATATTTAAAATTAATTAAATTGTTAAAAAAAATATTTGCTTAAAATAAAATAAGTAGGGGAATGTAGTCAAGGTTGGCCTACTGTCTAGGTAGGCCACTCGCGTTTTTTTGTCAAGTTCACTAGCGCCACCTACGCGCATTTTTGTCGAAGCTTGTCTTAGTGAAACCTAACTTTTTGTTCAATTACATTTTCGGAAAATCGAAAATTGTGTTTTCTGTGACGTCGGTACAAAAAAAGCTCAAAAAAAGTTTTGTGCATCATGTGAAAAACCATTAATAAAAGATAAAAAACAAATTGAATCGTCAAGGCAAGTATGCAGAAAATTTGTGGGACTCATGGTTGAAAGAAAAACAAAGTAAAAAATCGAATCCCGAAACGTATTTCTTTATGGTTACAACAATTCGGTAATGTTACTTACTGTCAAGGTCGGCCACTATGTGTTTAAAATGCGCAAAGTTGAGGACGAGCTACTTCATTTGCAAAAACTGCAATTCTGTATAACTCATAATATAATTGATCATCTTATTAATATTTTTATTTAATTTTATTAATATTTTAGTGCAAAACTTTTTTTTATTTATATTTATTTTTTTATATTGTTTATTTTTATTATTTTGTTATTTCATTAAGTTACAAACTGTAAACAATAAAGAATCAATTTTCCGTAACTCCAAACATGTTATTTTATTTTTTAACGATTAATGCCCTTTGAATTTTAAACATGGCCGACCTTGACTGTAATGGCCAACCTGGACTACAAATTTTTTTTTTTTTAAATCTTTATAACTTTTTCATTTTTAAACCTGTCAATTTACTTTGTACAGAAAAAATGTTCCTATTAAACAGGACTTTCCAACCATATACTTCAATTGTCCAAATTCATTTTTAAAAAAAAGTTATAAACAAAAGTCAAAAAGGTGGCCGACCTAGACTATGTTCCCCTATTTGTCTTATTATTAATTGAAGTAAATAAATTTTTCTTAATATTGAAATTAATTGAACATAAAAGTGAATGAAATTTTCAAATATTATTAAGTTAAATTTGAATTTTTCTATCCTTTGGAATAGAGAAATTGGCTAAATAGATTGTAAAAGGGATCGAAATTTTCTCGTTTCCTTTTGAAGTTATACCGACACTGTCGAGCAGGACATGAGATACTATCTTTATAGCGCACATCAAGCGAATCGCATTGCCGATTTAATTTCACACGAAGCATTCACGGCGTGAAACGATTGACCTGCGAACTTTGGATATTAAGATTTTCTTTACTTTGTTTTTTTTTCTATTTAATCAAAAAAGGGACAAAAAAAATAGTCATCCGATCAAATGTCAATTTGAAATTTTGTTAACGATTTCTCTCAATTATAAATCTTTTCAATATTTGACTATAATCAAAAATGAAATAATAAAATTTCAAAGAATTATTATTTTTTTTTATTATTCGAATTTAGTGCGACAAAAATTATAAAAATATGATTGAAATTTTTGAAAATGAAAACAATATTTATTTTTATCTCGAGAATAAATATTTTTAAGTTGATAAAATTCACTATATCAATAGAAGTGAATTAAATCAAAACGGTTTAAATTTGCAAGAAGGGATTAATTTTTATTTATATTGTTAGTGATAGGGGAACATGGAGCATCCGGAGGGGAAGAAAATCGACGCATTGACCTGTAATTGAATTTTTGTCGCCGACTAAATCAACGGGAGAGGCCCAATCACTATTGTCCACTTTGCATTTGAATTTAAACCCAGTGTTTGAGATTTGTTAGTTAATTATTCAAGTAATTGTCCTAATGAAATAAACGAGCTTAAAACTATTGCTTTATATATATATCGTTTCAATTTTAAATTAGAGCCTCTGATAAATGGCATCAAAATAAAATTACCATTTAAATTAGAAAATGGATCAACAAATTTTCTTTCAATTTTTGTCATTTCAATATATTAAAAATTAACTTACATCTTATAATGTCTGCTCTTTCAGTTGAAAACAGTTTTTAAAAAAAATTGTGCTTTCATAATTAATAAGCGAAAATGAAGAAAAACTCGGTAGAGAGTTTTTAAGAACTTACCTGATTTATTTAACTTAATATTAGAAAAAGAAATTTCACGAAAATTAACAGTGTTTAAAAAAGAAAAAAAGAGAGAGAGAAAGAGAGGGAGAGAATAATTTCTCTTTGAACTCTAAAGATTTTAAAAGCAGCAGTTTCTGCTAGAGAGATTTATTAAGACTGACTTACCCATATTTATCTTCCAGTGAACGAACTAAATTTTTTTTTCTCCACATCACCATCTCTTTGTTGCAACGTTGCATTTTGATATCGAGAAATTATCTATCTTTCACTCCACCTACTCATTTATTCACAACTCCAGAGTAAAATAATAATAATAATTCTCACTGTAATTAAAATATTAAAAAAGAACACTGTTAGTAATGATAATTAAATAATAAATTTTGCTACATCATCTTGTTTCTACGTTTGATTTGTCCTGATAGCAAAAATAAATAATTGACGCAATATTGTCGCGTGGTGACAAAAAAAACCTCCAAAAATTCCTTCTTAAAATTCACAACGTTATAATCAACGACTTGGAAAAATATAAAATATATACTTCTTTATTTAAATTATTGTAAATTTTTACAAAAGAAAAGTTTTGCACCATTTTTTTAGTCTATAATTTGAAAAAAATTCGTAAACAAAATATTTTATTGTTTTCGTCAAGAAAAACTATTTTCTTTCAATCTTTGATCATAAACGTTTGTGAATTTCAAAATTCGATGTCAAAACTTTGAAATCTGAAAATTTAATAAACAAAATAAAAAAAAGTAAATAGATTCAAAATTTACACTATGGAAGATTATTTTCTTAAAGTAATTATTTCGAAACAGTCTCTAACAAAATTTAATTCTAAAAGTAGAAAAGAAAACGATTCTTTTTTTATAGACACTCGTGACAAAAAAACGAATGAATCAAAAATGAATATTAATATTTTTTTTTATAATGATTTAAAAAAAAAATTATACAATCTTTCTACTTTTAGAATTAATTTTTTGCCACAGAAGCTGTCGCGAGTTAACTACTTCAAAAATATATAAGTAAAATGTTTACCAGTTGGAGAAAATGGACGGACAATTTTTTGCAAATAAATTTCGAGATTCTTCAAATTTGAAAAGTTTTTAATTTCTTAGAAATCGTTTAAATTTGTATAACTGTGTCTCTGTGGCTATCACATCTATAAACATGTATTGCGGATTGTCTTTATCAGGTTCTGTATTTGTCACTGTTAACTCTTTGTATAACCATGCGAAAGCCTCGGTTCCTGATTCAACCCTCATTCGTATATGCCTTCGACCCGTAGAATTCAAAATTTCATTTTCTATCCGTTTACGTAACAAATCAACACCTGAAATTCAAAACCAAACGAAAATTTACTTTTCAAACTAAATTCAACTAAATTTAAGGTTAAAAAAAAATTGAAAATCAATTCTTTTTTTATTTTTCTACAGATTTCTTTTGTTTTAAAATTTCTTTCTTAAATTTTGTTCAATTTTGTTTAACATTTTTTTTCTAAGTATAAATTTTTTTGTTCAAATTTTCTATTTTTTGTTTAAACATTTGTTTTTTATAAATCTTTTTGTTTAAAAATTATTTGAACGTTCGAATTAACGAATTAGTTTTTCGTAATCCAATATTTTTAAACTTTGGTGAAGGTCATAACGTTTATAAAAAACAATTTAAAACAAAGAAAATATTTTTATTTAAATTTTTATATATTGTATTAAAAAAACTATTTTGTACAGTTTTTTGACCGATAATTGAAAAAAAAAAATTTTATACAAAACATTTTATTGTTTTTGTCAAGAAAAATTTTTTTTTCCTTTCAATCATTGATCATAAGCATTGTTAACTTCACTGATGTATTTTAAAAAATTACTAGATTGAAATGAAAAATTGTAAAAAAAATATTGTAATTAAATATTTATTTAGTTTAAAAAAAATTAAAAATTAAGTAAATAAAGTTAAAAAAATAAAAAAAATTAATTGTAAAAAAGAAAATTTTGGGAATAAAATGAAAATAAAATGAAACAATTAAAATATCCTAGTTCATTTGAACGTTTAAAACTTTAGAGACATTTTAAAAGCTAATTTTTTCAATTTTAAATTAGAAAGATTTGGATATTTTAAAAAAATGAAGATTTTAATTTTGATAAATAATTATTAGAAATATATTTGAAAGGGACATTTTTCGAATAAGGTTACTTACCAATTTGTTTTGTCGCTGAAATTGCGATTATCTCTTCAGGGACTGTGTTTTTTTCAATTAAATCACACTTGTTTGCAATTTCGATAATTGGTCGATTATAACGGTTAAGCGACTCCAAAGTTGATCTGACATGATCTATTTGAGCCAATTGATCCGGATGACTAGCATCGTAAATATGTATTATTACATCCTAGAAGAAATGAAATTATTAATAAATTTTAGTTTTAAAGAACATTTTCTATTTTTAATTCAATTTTTACAATTAGTTTTCAAATTAATTATCATTTTTTCTATAAATTGACAGAAAATGTTAAAAACAAAGTGGCGACTAAATTTTGAAAATTAAATCCAAGACTTTCTCATAAATATTTCTCTATTTCTGAAGGTTTTAGAGAAAATGTCAAGGTTTTTTAAATTAAGATTTTATTAATTAAAAAAAATTATGTCATAATTTTAAATGTAGAACAACTTTTATGTTATTAAAATTTCAACTCAAAAATTTATAGCTCAAAATTTGTTTCGAAATCAGATCTCGGATCGACTTTAAAGAGCAAAAAAAATCGAAAAAAGTTGTTTATTTTTTTAAGTGTTGTCACCAAAAATTTATTTTGTATTTCCTTGATAATTCATTGATTTCCAAAATCAATTATTCAAAACTTCAATACTTTTGTTAAATAAATATTTAAAATTTTAAATACTTGTTAATTTTAAAATCTCCATTTTTAAACCTTGTGAAATTAAATTATTTCTAAATATTACTCCAAAATTCAATTGTTGTCTAGAATTTTTAACTAAACACTTCTCTAAATTATTTATATTTATTACTTATTTCTCTAATTATTTTTGATAATTTTATAAAAAATTTTCGAGAATTCAAGGGTAAGACTCCGTCAGAAAAAAAGCGATTTGCAAGTGTTCTTCCGATTTCTTCGAAACCTTGGGAAATAGAAGTCTTATATGAATTAAATTTAACCCTAAAAGGATTTTGAAAAATTTTCAAAATGGCGGCCGCTACGCCATATTGAAAATGAGTGTTACGTTTTTTTCAAAAATTAATAACTCTGAAACTTTTTGATCGATTTTAATAAAATTTACAGGCGATATAGTTAAAAATACGTAGTTTAATTTGATATTATGAACAAAAAAAAATTTCCAAAATTTGTCAAAAAAAAAGTCAAAAAAATTTTTTGAATTAATTTTTAGTTCAGTTGGCCTAATTTTTGAATTTTCTAATAAGTAAATATCGATTCCTTGTAATTTCACCTTTCATTTCATAAAAAAAAATTTATGGAGACTCTAATAGTTCTCGAGATATTGCGACTTTAGTGGGAGCGCGTACCGCGGAATTAAACTCCGTAGCGAGGCGGAATATGAAGCGAGCGTACAAACGTGCACAATAGGGTGTCCGTAACAATGCGACTTTCGAATTTTGTTTACGCCACCCCCCAGTTTAGTTCCAATAAAATAAAAAAAAATTTCCCAAAATTTGAAGCCGATTGATTAATATTAACACGTGCCAGAGATCCATCGAAATTTCCCATTAAAAATACATAGGAAAAATGCACTTTTAAAAAAAAATTTATAACTTTTTTAATTTTCATGCAAAAAATTCTCCAGGTCACATTTACCTTCATTTTTAGCTGCACTATAAGATAGCACTTTGCCAAAAATTTAATTTTGAAAAATTTTTTTAAAATGGCGGATGATTAAAGTGGGTCATAAAAATGCACCACAATATATCCAAGGTTTTAACACATAAGTGTTGTCAAAAATTCAAAAAAATTACTTACTCGGGGCTATTTTCAATCGTTCATCATGAATCTGATATCAGAATTTAATTTTTCCAAATTTTCGATCCAATATGGCGGGTTCAAAATTTTGATTTTCTACATTTTTAAAGTAAAAATTCTAAAACAACGTCAAGGGCGATTTTTGGAAGCGCTATTTACACTCAGAGAAAAAGTTTATTTCACTTAACCAAACTGTTTAATTAACCTATTTTATTTGTCACGATAAAACAATTTTGTTGATTTAAATAAAAATTTGGTTTATTTTAATAAATACGTAAAATTTGTTTGGTTATTGGAAAGAAATTTTTTATTTGAAATTGTTTATTTCATTTAACCAAATTTGTGTTTTGAATAGAGAATATTGTTTAGTTAAATACAGTTTGTTCGACACAACACACAAATTTGTTTGATTCAACCAAATCATTTTATTTGAGTCAAAAAAACATATTTGCTTGTCTCAAAAAGTACATGTTTGAATTTAAAAATGGCGATCTCACTTGTCTACAGTCCGCGTTCGCGTCAAATTTATTTGTTAAATCGGTAAATCAAAGAAAAAAAATTATAAGTGTCGGTTAAATAAATATTAAATACATTGTGTTCATTGACTTACTGCATATTTAATTTGTACCAGTGAGAAGAATATTTACAAAAACGTTTTGTGAAGTTTTCAGTTTGTTGTTTCGAATAAACTTTTTTCTGAGTGCACGTATAAAAATCATAATTATAATATGTTTAATGTAATATTTCAAATGTTTTTTTATAATTAAGTAATTTTGTTTATATGAAGAAATACATATATAATATTTTACTTAATTGTTATTTATTTTCCTCTAATAATGTTTGAGTTTCCTAATTTAATATTTTCTAGTATACATATTATTGGTTAATTTATAATTTATTATATGTATAATTTTAAAATATCAATAATTATATAATAAATTATAAATTAACCAATAATACGTACTAGAAAATATTAAATTAGAAAATTCAAATATTATTAGAGGAAAATAAATAACAAAATTAAGTAAACAAAAATATTTATTTAAATGAACCAAATACGTTTAAAACAAATCTTTTCTCTTGAAATAAACAAATTTTTTAGTTATATTAAATAAAATTTTTTGGTTAAGTGTAATAAGCATTTGGTTAATACAAATAAACGTATTGGAAGAAATTTTTTGGTTGAATCAAACAAACGTTTGGTTGACTGTATAGCAATGCATTTATTTGGTTGATTCAACCAAAATTTGGTTGATTCGAACAAATTTTTTTCTGAGTGTACGAATCTAATGTTAAAATTTTATTTTTCAAATTATTCGATCCACTATGACGGATTCAAAATTATGATTTTTTACATTTTTAAGTAAATAGTCTAAATATTAATTTATAGATTAATATTTACAAAAAATAATTATTGGGATGTTTTAGAAACTCTTTTATAGAAATTTAACTTTTTATACCTCTGCTCTTAAAAATCGATTATTAAAGGAATATTTAAAAAAAAAATTTGAATCCGCCATGCCATATTAGATTCGGTAATTTAAAAAATAAATTTTTAACATTAGATTCGTAAATAGCGCTTCCAAATATCGCCCTTGACCTTGTTTTAGAATATTTACTTCGAAAATGAAGAAAATTAAAATTTTGAACCTGCCATATTGGATCCAAAATTTTGAAAATTAATTGTTACGGACACCCTATTGTGCACGTTTGTACGCTCGCTTCATATTCCGCCTCGCTACGGAGTTTAATTCCGCGGTACGCGCTCCCACTAAAGTCGCAATATCTCGAGAACTATTAGAGTCTCCATAAATTTTTTTTTATGAAATGAAAGGTGAAATTACAAGGAATCGATATTTACTTATTAGAAAATTCAAAAATTAGGCCAACTGAACTAAAAATTAATTCAAAAAATTTTTTTGACTTTTTTTTGACAAATTTTGGAAATTTTTTTTTGTTCATAATATCAAATTAAACTACGTATTTTTAACTATATCGCCTGTAAATTTTATTAAAATCGATCAAAAAGTTTCAGAGTTATTAATTTTTGAAAAAAACGTAACACTCATTTTCAATATGGCGTAGCGGCCGCCATTTTGAAAATTTTTCAAAATCCTTTTAGGGTTAAATTTAATTCATATAAGACTTCTATTTCCCAAGGTTTCGAAGAAATCGGAAGACCACTTGCAAATCGCTTTTTTTCTGACGGAGTCTTACCCTCAATTATTTCAGTTGAATTTAAATTTAAATTAAAAAAATGTTCAATTTTTTATAATAAATGTAACATTAATTCTTCATGATGCATTTTAAAGTTATTTAGCCGAAATATTAATAAATAATCAAAAGTGTTAAAAATAGTTGATTTTTAAAAAGTTATAATAAAAAAATATTTATACATTAATTTTTCAAAATGTCTTAAAACAGTGCCAAAAAAAATTCAATGAATTAGTTTTTTAAAAATATTGTAAATTCAATTTTTCCAAAATAATTGAATTTTTTAAAAAAATGTTTGTACAATTTAAAAAATTAATCAATTTTCTGAATAATATTTTTAAGATAATCACATTTTTGAAATAGATAATTAAATTTAAATAATTGACATTTTAAAAATTTTATTGAAAATAATTGATTTTTTAAAAGTACTTATTTTATTCAAATTTTCAAAAATATTAATTAAAAATATGAAAAAAAACATTATTTTTCAAATTTTTAAAAGATATAAGTATAAAAAAGTATAGTAAAATATCTTTTTAGAAAATCAATTCTTAGAAGTTCTGTTTCATTCAAATTTTTTAAAATTTAATTATTTTAAATATTTTCAATTACATATTCTCGAAAACTGAAATATTTACAAAAAATAATTACTTGGAACTTTTTTTTGAAATTAATATTATATTTTTTTAGAAAAAGAACATTTTCAAATGTTTTAATTAAAAGTCTTCATAAAATAGATTAGTTTTTAAATATAAAAATTCTTTTTAGAAATTCAATTATTTGCGAAAAATTACATTACAATATTTATAAAACACTAATTCTTCGAATGTTTTTATTTTAATTTTTTAATATTTAATTATCTGAAAAAGTTAACTGCAATTTTAAAAAAATCTACTTTTTTGAAACTAATTTTCGTTTTCAAATTTTCCTTGGATTTTTTTTGTTTAATATACTTTAAGAATGTAATTATTTTCAAAATTTGCAATTAAAATTCTTACTGTAAATTTGATTTTATGAAAATTTTAAAGAAATACTTAAAAAGAATCAATTGTTTTCAATAAAATTTTACAAAATTAAAAGAAGAAAATTTTTTATTTGACTATAGTTATTTTTCACACTTTGAAAATCAAAATAAATTCAATTTTATACCAAAAAGTGGTAGCTTGATGCAATATTTGTAAGAAAAGTCGAAAAAGTCACATGTTTTGAAAATGAGTAGAAAAAAAGTGTCCTTTTCTGAAAATAGTAAAAAAAAAGTCTAACTAGCCGAGGCCTGCAAAAATGGTAATTCACGTCTTTTTCCCAGTTTCCGAAGATTCAAGGTTCAGTGACCACCCTGAAAAATTCTTTAAATTCTTTTAATTAAAATGTTAATAATTTCAAATACTCACAGAATCGAGTGCATCCTCGAGGGTGACAATAAAAGGAGCAAGCATTCCTTCGGGTACGTCTTGTATAAAACCAATGGTGTCCATATAAAGAATTTTCAATCTACTAGGAAGATATCCTTCATGAGCCGTTGTGTCAAGTGTTGCAAATAATTGATTCCTTGGTATCAATGATGTATCTCCAGTTAATGCCCTAATTAACGATGTTTTCCCAGCATTTGTATAGCCAACTATCGCCACACTTGGTATATCCAATAATTTTCTCTTTCGTCTCACCAAATAATGTTGCTGTTGCACTTTCTTTAATTCTTTCTTCAAATTTTGTTGTCGCGTTTGAAGAATTCTTTTCCTCCATTCCTTTATATTTATCCTATGAAGATCATTGTGATCCTCTACAAATTTCTTCCAAATTAATGGAATTTCCGCGAGAGCCACTTGTAATTTAGCCTCAGGAGTTTTTGCATGCAATCGAAATATATGTATGACAATTGAATAGCGATCAAAAATTGGAAGATTAAATTCCTTTTGTAATTCCTCAATCTGCGCTAGTTTCAGTAGATTTAAACTGACAAAAATTCCTGTCACATAATTGGAAGATTGAATTCTTTGCTTTAATTCTTCAATTGCTCCTCTACCTATTAATTTATTTCTTCCAAGGGATAATAATGGTACACATTTTTTATCAACAACAACCCATCGTGGTAATGTACTTATCAATGCCTCTGCCTCACTCATTTGTAATTGGGGAGTTGTATTCAATCTTTTTCTCCGTCCCCATTTTATGTAAGGTTGTATTATAAAAATTCTCTGTCCACCAGCGATTGTTCCTAAGGAAATATTTGACATTTCTTCATATTCTAATAAATCTGCTTCAGTTTCAAAAGTTCCCGTTGCATCGTGACTGAATCTCTTAATAAATGTAGGCAAATTTAAAATTCTTTTTGAAATATTCGAAAATATTGCCGGTTGTAAATTGTACTTCAATTTTGAAGCGAGATTTCGAAAAAAGTACATTTTTAAATTTTGTTACTTCAATACTTCAAAATGGAAATAATAAATCTTTTTATTTTGTAATTTGTTTCGTTTTCGCAAGTTCATTTCTTCTGCCTTCGGCAAATAATTGTTTTACATTTTCTTCACATTTCGATTTGGCAATGTATCCTGTACCAAATATTGTTGATATCGTAAGCATACCAATGATGAGATATCTTGTTTCAAAACCTATATACTTGCTCAAACATTTATTGACTAGAAATGGATAACCCAGAGCACCTAAAATCATTTTTAAATAAAATAAAACTTAATTTCTAAATATCAATAGATTATTAGTAATATTAGTTAAATTCATTACCAATAACGAAGGAAGACAAACCCCATGTACCAAACTTCAAACTACAATTTGAACACTCAACTCTCAAACGAATGTCGGACCAATTTTCAGTTTCTGGTTCGTCAATAATTTTAGTCATCTCTAACAATTTAATAATGCCATAGACACACACTGATCTGGAAATTAAAGAAAAGAATTAATTTTATTTTATATTTTTATAAAATATACGGGACTTGCTATAATTATTATAAGAAAAAAATGCAAAAAATCTTCATACATTCTCACCACAGAGAAAATATTTTTAATGTCCCTAAAGTTTTGAACGTTCAAATGAATGACAATATTTTTATTACTACATTTAATTTATATTTTATTAAAAAATATTTTTTCCCATAGGTACAGTAAAAAAAGCTGAACATTTTACTTAAAACTATAAATTAAGTTTTTCATAACTATAAAACATGAAGATGACCGAGTGATAAAATCATTCTCAATTCAATTATTATTTTCAACAATTGTTAACTAAAATTCTTCTTTAATTTAGTTTCTTTAATTTAATCTTTTAATAATTTTCGAAAAAGTATTCTTTAAAAATTTTCAAATCCATTTGTTTACAATATTTAATTTTATACAAAATTTCAATTATTTGTAAATTCTTCAATTAAGTAATTATATATTAAAAAATAAAAACTTAAAATAATGTAAAAAAAATTCAATTAAACTTTTTCAAAAAAATTAATTTCAAAATTCAATTATATCTAAAAATTTACGCTATAAATAAAATATATTTTAATATTTAATTATCTAAAATTTTAACTGAAATTCATTTTTAAATCAATTTTTATTAGAAAATTCGACTAGAGTTCAATTATTTAAATACAAAAATAAATAATTTATTGAATAATTCAATGTTTCTTAAAATTGAATTCTTACACATAATTTTATTAAAAAATTTTTAAATAATTGAATTCTTTCGACGAATTTTAATAAAATTTTTAAGAATAATTCCATTTTTCGAGAAATTTGATTAAAATTGTATTAAAAATAATTGAAATTCTACGACGAGTTTTATTATTTCTAAAAATAATTGAAACTCTGTAAAAGATTTTATTATTATTTTTGAACAATATTTAATTTTTGAATCTCTTGAAAATAATTGAATTTATGCAATAATTTGTAAGTTTTCCAATAAGATTAAATTTTTTTTTCGTGTTTTTAACTAAAATTCTTCTATAAATGCATTATTTTTAATAATTTTTGAAAAAGTTCTTGAGTATTATCAAATTTATTTGTTTAGAATTCAATTTTACAAAATTCTAAATTTATTCGTAAATTCTTCAATTATTAAATATATATTAGAAAATAAAAACTTCTAATAATTTCAAAAAAAAAAAAAAAATTCCGCAATTAAACTTTCTCAAAAAAATTAATTCCACAAAATTTGTTAGTTAAAAATACGAAAAATTCAGATTTTCGAAGATTTTAATTTTAAACCTTTTCAAAATTCAATTATTTCTAAAAATTTAATATTTAATATTCAATTATAATCTAAAATTTTAACTGAAATCAATTTTTATTAGAAAATTCTACTAGAATTGAATTATTTAAATTAAAAAATAAATAATTTATTGAGTAATTGATTGTTTCTCAAAATTGAATTCTCATAAAGAGTTTTATGAATAAACTTTTAAATAATTGAATTATTTTGACAAATTTAAATAAAATTTTTAAAAATAATTACATTTTTCGAGGAATTTGATTAAAATTGTATTAAAAATAATTGAAATTCTATGATGAGTTTTATTATTTCTAAAAATAATTGAAACTCTGTAAAAGATTTTATTATTTATGAAAATAATTGAATGATTGCAAACAAATTTATATAAAATTTGTAAATAACTAAATTCCTGTGAAATTTTTATTATTTTATGAAAATAATTAAAGTTTGTGTAGAATGTTATTAAATTTTTTTCAAATAATTGAATTCTTTTGGAAAATTTTTAAATATAATTGAAATTTTACTATGAATTTTATTAATCTAAAGACAATTGAAATTTTTACGAACTTTTTCATTTTTATACCAATTTTTAATGTAATAATGTAAATTTTACAATTCGTTTCACTATATAAATATATTGTAAACAAACAATTTGTTAAATAGTTAAATTATTTAAAATCCAATATTTACGTTACGTAACTTAACCTACAAAAATTTTCTATATTAAAAATATAAAATTGAAAAAATTAATAAAAATAATAGTAACAAAATTAAATTTTTAAAAATATATTTATAATTTATATAAAAATAAGCATGATTTATTATACGAAAGGATATTTTCCGCAACTGAAAACTTTTTCTGACAAAAACACTCGTTCTTCGTGGACAAAATAAATTGTCGAAACAATATAAATGAATAAAAGAAATATTTAATAGAAAATAATACTAATAACCATTATTACCTGTTCCTGTCATTGAATTATAGCGTTTTTGTGTAATTTACAATACTACATAACAATTATAAACAATGAAAAACAAATATACAATTGTCATGAACGAATAGCAGAACGGTTTGACATGCGCGTTTTTAAGGTTATGTTCCAGTACAAACGTCACAGAGAGCAGACGGCAGTCGAGAAATGTATCTCAATTGGAGTAGAAGTATATTTATTACACAAGAAATATTTTAATTATGCACAAACAAGATATAAAAAGTGTTTCATATCACTATACAACGTATAAAGAATTTATTAAAAGTTACTTGTGGACGGAGAAAATCATCTTATTTCTCTTCTGAAGTTTCTACCATCAAAAGTTGATTTTAGCAATAAAAGGACAATAACCTTTAATTAACATGGAACCAGGAACATTAACGAAAGTTTTAAACGATTTTTTTACAACAAAAGATGGAGAATTGAGTCTCAATAAAGGGGATCATTTTTTGGTAAATAACACCAACTTTTTTCCAACTTAATTAAAAATATTATATGGTATTTAAATTTTAAATTACCTCCATTTTCACTTCACATTACATCATATTCAATAATAACAAAAAAATATATAACTATTAATTTACTTTACCGTTCTAAAATAGTAACTTTCGTTTAAACATTTATTACGTATTTAATATATTATTTTATTAATCAATTTGTATTTGTTAATTTCTACTTTTTCGATCAAATGACATGTCGATTTATAGACAAAAAAACGATTGTTTTATCTTTGTTTTTCCATTGTTGTAGCTACGCAGTTATGTTTTTGCGATTGTATTATATGGATAATTGTTTATTTATAAGCAAATTAATCATGTAATTACTTTTTTTTATTTTACTTCTATTTTGATTTATATAATGGAATGTAGAGACTATTAAAACGAAATTTATACTTTGTATTATCAACAGGAAATGAAAGTTGATACGCAGGGTGTTAATTACCAAAAAACAATTGAGAAACGGTTTATAGTTAACTATTGTAGATTATACATTTTAGATATTAATTTTAAATATTAATTCTAGATATTAATTTTAGATATTATTACATAATTGAAAAAAATGAAAAATATTATGAAATATTTATGAAGATTTCGAAATTTGAGGATTAGTAGGTTATTATTTAATCTAAGAGTAAAAATGTGACAGTAATTAGTTTTTAATATGAATTTGGCTTTTTTTAGATCTTTAATAATGTCGACAAGCATTGGTGTTATGGACAATCGGATAAACAAACAGGGAAATTTCCAGTGAGCCACTTATTAAAAGTTAATACACCAGTTGTGGACGAATCGGCAAATTTATTTATATCAATTGCTTCATTCTCCGGCGAACAATCCGGTGATCTTCCATTTGCAAAAGGTGATTATTGAAGATTAAATTAACCTTTCATAGTGAACAATCTATCAATGTAATCTACTGCTTTATTTTTAAAATTAAATTATTAATAATGTAATTATTACTTTTTTGTAATTAATGCATATTTTTTTATGTTAATATATCAATTATGTACTAAAACTAAAACGAGATTATTTTTTATGTAATAGGAGAAATTATTGTGGGAAGAAATGAAGTACAACCAGGCTGGTATTCTGGTTATACGGATTCAAGAAAAGGAATATTTCCAACTACTCACGTCTGGGAACTTAATAAATCAATAATTAAGGTGAATTCCGATATTTTATTATTTACTTGTTGTCGAATTTAAATATATAAAAAAGATATGATGCTTAATTCTTCAAAGTTTTTGAAAACGGAAAATTAAAATAATTTTTCTTCAAGTTTAAATTTTCTAATGTTTTAAACGTTCTGATGAACGAACTTAATTCTTTTTGTTTCAATATTTTCAAAAATTACTGCAAAATTAAATTAATCATTTACAGGCCTCGGATAGTTCGACTTTTAGGAATTTTTTCGACTATTTTAAAAAAATACTACTTTTTCCACTTATTTTCAAAAACTGCGGCTTTTTCAACTTTTTTTCCAAATATTGCAACAAAATACTATTAATTAAATACTATTAATACAAATACTATTAATTATAATAACGTCGATTTTTATTCTGTAAAAATAATTGTAGTCAAATATTTCAAACTTTCTTCTTTATAGGAATTTTTCTATAAGATTAAATTTTCGAAATATATATCATTAAAAAGTTATTAAATACTTCCTCTATGAGGAAGTAATAATTGAAATTTCATAAAATTTTATTGAAAACAATTGATTCTTTTTAAGTATTTCATTAAAATTTTTTCAAATCAAATTTTGCAAAAATTTTAATTGCAAATTTTAAAAATAATTGAATTCTCAAAAATTATAATGAAAAATCAAAATGAAAATTAGTTTTAAAAAAGTATATTCAGAAATCAGTTCAAAAAGATAATTTTATTATGAATTTTTAAGATTCAATTATTTACAAAGTTACATATTTCCAAAAACTCAAAATATCAACAAAAAATAATTACATTAAATTTTTTCGAAAAATCTAATTCTTTAGAATTATTAAAACTTTGGAAGAAAACAAATATTTCCAAAGTTTTTAATTAAAATTCTTTAAAAAAAACTGATATTAGTTTTTTAAATTGTCAAAAAATTCTTTTAAGAAATTCAATTATTTTTGTAGATTTATGATTAATATTTTGAAAAAATTCTTTTAAAAAATTCAATTATTCGTACAAAATTTTACTAAATTTCAATTATTTGGAAATTTTTCAGTTATATGTAATCAAAAATTCTATTATCATTTAGAAATTATGCAGAAATATTTTTAAAAAATTAATTTTAATAATTTTAAAAAAATTAATTTTAATAATTTTTTGTATAATATTTTTAATATTTGATTATTTTCAATATTTTTAGTTATATATTTTCAAAAATTCACAGCAATGACTTAAAAAAAAATAAGGATGCGTTGCAGTTTCAATTATTGTAAAAAGTTGATTTTTTGTATTTAAATAATTGAATTCTTGAAAAACTTTCCGTAAATTATTAAAAATATTAATTGATTAAGAGAAGAAGTTTAGTAAAAAGTTCTTGTAAATGTAAATAATCAAATTTTGGAAGTATTTCAGTTTGAATTTTTAAGAAATAGTTCACTTTCAGATTATTTGAAGACGAAAAATTTAAATTCCTGTGGGAAAATAAATAACAAGTACCTATATTTAAATTTTTTTACTTAAAATTATTTAATTTTAGAATTTTGAATAATTGAATAATAATTTTTTTTAATCTTCAATCAATTAAAGCGTCTTTTTTGCTCTCTAAAGTCGATCCAAGGCTGGCATTTATTTAATTAATAATTTTTTTAATTTAGAAAAAGTTAATTTTTTAGTGAAATTCAAATCTGAAGGAAATTTAAAAAGAAAACCGTTGTTTTATTTAAAAGCGATGTGAACTACACTCTCTCATAAAAAGTAAAACTAAACAACGAGACTTTGGTGAAGTTCACAACTTTAATAATCAACGATTTAGAAATAAATTTTTTTCTACTCAAATTTTTATATAAAAAAAATATTTTTCATAGTTTTTTGATTGAAATTTAACGTTTGAATTTAAGTTTATGAATTTAATGTTTAGTAATTGAAAATTGAAATTTAGAAAAAAGAAAAATTTTTTTAAAAAAATATTGGTTTCGTAAAGAAAAAATTTTGTTTCTTTGAATCGTTGATCATAAACGTTGTGAAATTCACCGACGTACAACATACAAAAAATTGTGCTATAAACTATTTATTTTCTTGTCAAGTGTAATAAAAATCTAATCTTCTAGACAATTAAAAAAACTTATCCAATGTGAAATCTAAGATAAATGATAAAAACTTACATAAACATACCTAATATTAGATATGATTGCAGCAACCGACGAAGAAAAAATCGATTCAAAGAAAAGCGAAGGTGAAAACGTCAATGAAAGCTCAACTCGATGAAGAATTAGACCTAATAGAGGGGGATATTATCACTGTAATTGAACTTGTCGAAGATGGATGGTGTCTTGGAGTGACGAATGACGGTCAAAAGGGCACGTTTCCCGAGGCTTTCGTAACCTACATCGATGATAATAACAGCATTGATGAGACGGATGAGATAAATATTAACCCCACAATAGATCCCTTGCCACAATCAATACAAAATGGTGCCCACATTTACAAGGACTTTGGAGAAACTTCCGCCAATTCGTTCTCAATGAATGAACCGGCACCAAACTATTTTGATCTCTTTCCCGAGAATATTCCACAAAATACTGAAAGTCTTCCCGAATCTCAATCAGCATCAAATTGCGTCGATGAAAATCCAAATCCACTGGGCGTTGATCCCTATGCAATAACACTTTATCCCTTCAACGCTCAATTTCCCAATGAATTAAGTTTTGAGTCTGGTGAAGTTGTTAATTTGATAAAGTACATCGATTCCGAGTGGGCTGAGGGTGTTATCGATTCAGTTAAGGGAATATTTCCCGTCTCGTACGTCAATGTTATTGTTGATTGCATTAAAATGAAGGAACAGGAAACACACTCTGAGGACGACACTTTTCCGAGGCAGGAAAATATTTTCGAACCTGAAATGTCAGCTAGGGTGGAATACACATTTAAGGCACAAATGGACGGTGATTTGAGTATCGAGGAAGGTGATCATGTCCGAATTGTGGAGGTTGTCAATGCTGATTGGATTATTGTTAGAAGTAAGGAGGGAAAAGTTGGTTCGTGTCCAAGTTCGTATTTGACGCCCTTGACTGAATCAACGACAGAAGGATTTGGCGAGAGTGTCGAAGATTTTGTTGTGATAAGAAATCATGAGATCGATGATATTACAGAGGAGTCGAAAGAAGTGAAAAGATTGTCCTTGCCACACAGACCAGCGCCACCGGCACCTGCGCCAGGACGTGTTCCCATTCAAAAATCGAACATTCCCGACGACGAGGTTGTCACCGAAAAGGAGAAGAGGGCCGATAAGCGACAAAATGTTATTTCGGAATTGGTTTTAACCGAGAAGGAATATGTCAGGGATTTGAAAGTCACATATGAGACTTTTAATTTACATAATCCGTCTTTTCTGGAAAGTAGAGGAATCGATGTGTCAACGTTGTTTGGAAATATCGAAGAGGTTACCCGAGTTGCCGAGGAATTATTGGATTTGATTTTAAAGTCCATGAAAGATTGCGAGGAGGAGTTGCAAACAGTTGGTCCCTGCTTTGTCGAAATGGCAGAGAAAATGCAAAACGCCTATGTTAAATATTGTACTAATCATGAAGCAGCTCAAGTTCTTCTACAAAAGGTAATTTATTAAAGTACTTTTTTTTATTTTTATTATTTAATTTTATTTCTACACAAATTCTACAACACAATCTTTTAAATTTTTTCTAACAATAATCTATTAACTAAGACTTAAAAATTATTTCATTAAAATCTGTAATAGAGAACAAAATATAAATTATTATATTGAAAATAGAATTAATATAGAAATTAAATTTTCAGTATGCAGAAAATAAGGATATTATGGTGGTTTTTGATAAAGGAGTGGAAACCCTGCGACGGCAAGTCATCTGCTTTGATATGGATTCTATTCTAATAAAGCCAGTTCAAAGAATTTTAAAATATCCATTGTTGCTGAACGAATTAATCAAGGTAGGAAAATCTTTCTCAAATATTGCAAAAAAATACCACATTTTCAATATAAAACGCAACTTATTTTGATTTATATACTGTGAAAAATATCTATAGATGACAATTTTTTAAAATCTACTTTTGAAGAATTTTAATTGCAAATTTTAAAAATAATTGAATTCTCAAAAATTTTAATGAAAAATCTTCAAGTGGAAATTTAAAAATGAAAATTAATGAAAATTAGCTTACAAAAATTATATGAAAATATTTTTGAAAAAAGTAATTCTCAGAATTTTTTCAATTCTAATCTTTTAAAATTCAATTATTTTCAATAAAATATTTCCGAAAATTCAAATATAATATACAAAAAATTACAACATTAAAATTTATTAGAATTATTTTTAACATTTTGGAAAAAACAATTGTGTTCAATTGAATTATGCTGAAAAATTTTACTTAAAATTCGTCAAAAAATTAATGTGTTTTTTAAAATTATACTAAAATTCTTTTAAGAAATTCAATTATTTTCGGAACATTACATTACAATATTTTAAAAAAAATAATTCTTTGAATTGATTTATCATAATTTTGTAAAGATTCAATTATCAAATTATTAAATTTCAAAAGGTTTTTAATTGAAATTTCTTAAATTTTATTTCCCGTTGAAAAACAAATAAGAAGTTTTTAAATACTTATTTAACAAAATTATTCAAGTTTTGAATAAAAATATTTTATAATAAAAATAAGTAATAATATTTTAATATTCAATAAGTCAAATATTGATAAAAATCAGTGAAAGTTCTGAGAAATACAAACTACAATTTTTCTGACAAAACTGAATTAAATAACGACTTTTTTTCCCTTAAAGTCGATCTGAGTCCTGTTAGTAAAGTAAAAGTATTATTTATCTATAGTATTAAAAAATATCAAATTATTCAAAATATTAAAAAGTCTATGAATTTTTTTTATAAGAATTGATTTAAAAAAATATTCCAAGAATTGGAAGAATTGCAGTTCTAATTTTAATTAAATTTTAAAAGGTTTTACATTGAAAGTATTTTGAAAAATTCCTGGTGAACAAATAAATAACAATAAGTATTCAAATATTTATTAAAGAAAAATTAATTCAGAAATTCTCGAAAACTGAAGTTTTTAAAAAATCGTAATTTAAATTTTTTGAAAATAGTTGAATTGACGAAAATAATTTTAAAAAATTGAAAAAATAGGAAATTTTCTTAAATTTCTTTAAAATAAATTTTAGATCTCAAAGAATTTTATTTTCTCACTTTGGAAAATTATGTTTGTATATTATTGTAATTTTTGAAGAATTGTAACTGAAAATTTGGAAAATAATTAAGTTCACAAACATTTTTGTATTTTAATAATACAAATATAGTTAAATTCTAATTATAGAATTCATTAAAATAAGAATTAATAAGAAGAATATAAATTGATTTAAAAAAGAATTTCAATTAAAATTTTGAAAATAATGGAATATTAGAAGCATTTCAACAGGAATTTTAAATATAATTAAAAATAAAATAATTTTAAAAAATTATTAATATATTATTTTTCTTTAAAAACTATTAAAATTTGAATAACATTTTTAAAAAATTCTAAAGACTAATTTACTTTTGGAAAAATTGGAGTTGTAATTTTTAGAAATAATTATTAAATTTCAAAAATTAATTTTCAATTAAATTTACATTGAAATTATTTGAACTTTCAAATAAAATAAATAAGAATAAGGTGTTAAATTTTTTAACAAAAATTTTTGAATAATTTTATGTTGAAATTCTAAAAAAATTAGGTTTTTGAAAAATTGTAATTAAAATTTTTTTGAAGATACTTGAATTTCCGTAAATAATTTGAAAGATTAAAACAATTAAAAGTTTTATCAAATTTCATTAAAATAAATTCTATATTTAAAAGAGTAACAAAAACTAAAATACAAATTATTATTACACAGAGCACAGAAGAAAATCATCCCGACAAACCAACATTGGAGGAAGCGTACAATTCAATGTCGAATGTAGCAAAAAATATCAACGAATCGAAAAGAAGAAAAGATCTCATCGCCAAATATTGGGAGACTAATAATACCCTAAAAGATAAATTTTCCAAACTTACAATGCATTCTGTTTCAAAAAAATCGTCGAGATCAATGGCAATGCTCTCTTATTCACTAGGATCGACTAATCTTACGCCAGACAATGATTATGAGGATCTAACGAAACAATTAAAAACATTGGAAATATGCACAAAACAATTGGGAAGAGATGTACAGCAATGTGTCAATTTTCTGAACGAAGAAATAATATGCAGTGAAGTTTTATCCGAATTCTTGAATCATTATCATCAGGGAACGCCAAATAAGGAAATATATGAATTGTGTGAAACACGTGCAATAATTAAGAACAAATTTCTACAAGATCTAGAACGTACTGTTGAGACACGAGTGAAAAAGCCTTTGAATACTTTAATAACACTTCTCAAGGGACCAGAGATTTTAATTACAAAACGTTATCACAAAATGTTGGATTACGATATTGCGATATCGAAAAGTGAAAAATATAAGGATAACAGAGCGGTGAGTATATTCTTTGAAATTTAAAGAATAAAAAAAATATATATTCTTTTGTTTTCTACAACTCATAATGATCCTAAAGTTATGAAGTTTTACTTGAACGAAATTTACTTCTTTAAATTAAATTAATTTAAATTAATTAATTATTTACTTCTTCAAATTAAACTTTTATTGCAATTTTTCTTCACTATCAAGAAAATTAATTACAAAGTTTCTAAATACTGGCCGCAAATATTATGAATTTTTTAAGACTATTTTCAAAAAATACAATTTTTTCAACATACATATTTTCATAAAATGCGACTTTTTCGACATTTTTTCCATACATTACAACAAAATACCACTTTTTTGGTACAAAATGCAAATTTCTTTGATTTTTATAGTGTGAAAAATGACTATAGTCAAATTTAAAAAATAATATTTTAGAATAATTGTTTGAGATTATTACATTTTCGAAATATTAAAAAGTATTTATTTCTTTAATTAAAGTTCTGAACGTTTAAATGGATATTTTTTTACATTCAATAATATTTCCAAAAATTACAAAAAATCCGTAACATTACTTGTGATATTACTATGATCTTACTGTCATATAAAAAAACACTAAACGTAATTTTCTGACATCGTATCGAGTAGTTTAAAGATTAAAAACAAAACATTTAATAGAAGAAAAGGGACGCGCGAGGAAATTTCCTGCAAAATAGTAATCAGAAAAAAATTTTTAGAAAGTCATATTTGAAGGTGCCAGGGGCCAACAAAATAATAATGCTGTAGAAATTTGAAGCGTGGTTTTAAGTTCGAAGATAATTGAATACTAATATTACAAAAGTAACTGAATATTTTTATTTCAAGTATATAAAAATGAAAAACTGCAGCAAATTAAAATAACGGCAATCCAAATATTTTGTTTCTTAATTCTTTCCGTCGATAAGATAACTGAAAAACAATAAAACAAATGTAATGCATTTCACTGAAATAATTTTTTTTGTAAGAAGTATATTTAATATTTACGTTCGCATGAATAGGGCCCAATTTTGCACTAATAATTATCTAGGTATATGAGAATATTTTTGATGAAATTCCTAATAATTTGAGAGATTTTATATATAGAGAGGGAGAGATTTAGGAAAATATGTCCGTGAATATATCGAGATTTAAAGTTAGAAATGTGAAGCACTTAGTTTTGAAAAAAATTTGTTTAAAGTTAAAATTTGGAGTAATATACAAAAATACTTACTTGGAAAAAACTGAAGTAAAGACCTTGAACATCATAGTCGCATTTTTTATAAATATAATTAAATTTATTACTATGAAAAATAAAAAAAAAAGATTTACTCTTGCTGTCACTTTATCTTAAACCAATGAATGTGTGCTGATATCAAGTTCCACTGTCAGAGTTGCCAGGGAGTTTCTTACAAAAAACGAGAGACTTATGTTCATTTGAACGTTTTAAAATTTAAACCGGAAAGTTTATAAATAATTAATTTTGTTTAAGTAATTTCATAAAAGTGTTTGAAAATAAAATTTTAATATCATAAATTACTGACTGATATAAAAAGCAAACACAGAATTAAACATTTACAATGATTATTATTTATTTTCTTAATAAGAGACGTAATATTATTGCAATAACAATTTTTATTTGAAGAAGAAACAAATAAAATTTGTTCATTTGAACATTCAGAACTTTCGGAACAACAAATTATTAAAAATTAGATTCAAAACCATTATATTAAAATATTTTTTTAAAAAATAATTTAAAAATTTTTTTTTTATATTTAATTATTTGGAATATTTTCATCTACATATTTTAAAAAATTCAAAGAGCTGCCAAAAAACAAAAACATTAAAAATTTTGAAAAAATCTAATTTTTTAGAATTATTATTAAAGTTTTAGAAGTAAACAATCATTTTTAAAGTTCTATTAAAATCCTTCTAGAAATTTATTAGTTGTTTAAATTGTAAAAAAATTCTTTTAAGAAATTCAATTATTTTAAAAAAATTGCTTACAATATTTTAAAATAACAAATTCTTAGAATTTTTTTATAATTATTTTTCAAAATTCAATTATTTTTAAAAAAAATGTTTAAAATTGAATTAAAAAATCAACTTTTTTAGACTTATTAAAATTTTTGGAGAAATCATGTATTTTGCTTCCTCATGAGGAAGCTTTGCATTGGTGACGATTTTCAATTTTTAAAAAGAAGGTTATATGGACTCATTTTCATCTAGAACATATGTATATTCAATATTATGAGCAAATGTCCAGATGTGTGTGTGTGTGTGTGTGTGTGTGTGTGCCACAAAAATTGTGTACAAATTATCTCATACAAATTTTGATGGATTGTCCTGAAATTTTGCAGGTTTATTGCAGTCATTAATACCTAAAATCTGACACAAGGATTTTCAAAAATATCTACAAAATTTTTTTTTATACAATTTTTTTAAAATTCAGAAATAATTTTTTTTGTATTTTTTGAAATAATTTTTTTATTTGTTAATATTTTCATTAATTATTCTCAAAATTACATTCCTGACAAGAAAACGAATCGATTGATGTATACAAAGTATATATTTTATCAAAATTTATAAAATTAATAAATATTTTTCTTTTTCACAAAAAATTCAAATTTTGTATTTTTTTCATAATTAATTTAATATTAATATTAATATTTTGAAATGATTATTCTATCATAAAATAGAAGCAATTGGCAAATGAAAGTGTAAATTTCACCAAATATTTATACAACAACTTATAAATGATTTATATAATTTTATTTTTAACAAATCTTCTGGACGAACCCTTTTGTACATAGTTTTTCAAAAGTTTGCAAAATCGCAATTTTTATATATTGAGGAAGCTAAATGGTCATAAAATGAACAACTTGTTTAACTTGTAATTCAAATTCTTTATAATCTGGATTATTTTTTAATATTTTTTTTTGTATTTTAAAATTCATTTCAATTTTGTTATGATTTCACATGCAAAATTAAAAAAAAATATCCATTTTACTAATTAATTATAATTATTTATAGTTTTCAAAAATTTTAAGAAAGTACTTCGCAGGAGTTTCATTATTTTTGAAAATTTGATAAAATTCTTCGCAAAAATTCAATTATTTTGCAAATTTTTGATTAAATTCTTTATAATTGAAATATTTTCAATACAACTTTAATGAAATTCCTTGACAAAATGCAATTATTTTTATAATTTATCAAATTTTTCGCAAGAATCTAATTATTTTAAATAATTTTAATAAAATTTTTGAAGAATCTCTCAATAACTCTGAAAAAGTTTGATAAAATTATTTTTGAGAATTAAATTATTTTCATAATTAATCAAATTCTTTGCAGGAATTTAATTATTGTAAAGAATTTTAATAAACCTCTTTGCAAAAATTTCAGCAAAATTCTTTATAAAAAAAAATTTAGTTAAATACTTTGAAAACATTTAATTCTTTCCCTAAATAATAAAATTATTCGCAGAAATTCAATTATTTTCATAATTAATAACTTTTCTCGAAAGAATTGAATTATTTTTAAAAAATGTTAATTAGGTATAACATTCTTCACAGAAATCCAATTATTTTGAGAAATTTGTAAAAAAAAATGTTATAAGTCAAATATTACAGATTTTAAATTATGAAAGAACTAAATTATAAGAAATTAATAGAAAAGAATTATTATTTTTAACTAAAAACAATTCTGTTTAATTAATTTATGGTATTTTTTAATCTTCAAAGCATTAATTTAGAATTTCATTAATTTTAAAATTTAAAACATTAAAAAAAATATCAAAAAAATTTGAAGAAGAAGTTTACTTAAAAATTCTAGAAAATATTTAAATTTTTAAGAAGCTACAGTTGTTGTAATGTTTAGAAATATTCACATTTTGGAAATTTTGAATTTAAATTAAAAATATTTGTATTCCTGCGGAAAAATAAGTAACTAGTATTTAAATATTTACTGAAAAAAAACTTTTCCCGCTTTTTTGTCTTTTTAACGTCGATACGAGGCCTGTAAATGTAAAATTTATGTTTTTAATTTTTATTACAATCAATAATTTATGAAAATAATTGTAATAAAAAATTTTTCGTTCATTTGAACGTTCAAACTTTGTAGATCATAATTCGTAAATAGAATATAACTGATACAAAAAATATATATCAAATTAAAAGAATAATTCGAATTGTTTTTATTTTAGGTTCAAGAAGAATTGTCGAGTGCGAAAAATAATTTCGAGGCCCTACATCAGCAATTAAAGGAGGAATTGCCAATTTTTATTGAAGCCAGCACTCAAATTTTATGCCATTGTATTAACGCTTTTGCCAATGCCCGAATGCTTCTCAGTGGACGAGTTATGCATAAATACATGCAACTATCACAGGTACTACTAATTCTACTCAAACATAAAATAAAAATAAAACACAAAATTAGATTATATAAATTATAAAAAATACAAACAAACGGAAATTTTGTTTCAGTCTGCTAATCAAGTTTCCTTAAAAAACATTCTCGAATCATTTATGGTGAACCACAATTTACTCTACAATCAAATGAGTCGTTTAAAATCGTCATCATCGTCGTCAAGTTTGGATATTGACGAGGGACCAAATAAACTATCACCCCAAAGTGAAAGACTGAAACTTCTTTTAAAAAACAAATATCCATTACAAAAATTATTTATTGTGATTGAAAATATTGAGGGAGCAACGCCATTGGATTTATCGGCAATTAAAGGAACGTGGGTCGCAGTGATTAAGGAGAAAGATCCCACTGGAGATGTTTCCAAATGGTTTGTCGATAATGGCGCAAAGCAAGGATTCATTCCAAGTCGTTGTTTAAAATCATTGCGAAATATGCAACAGGGTAATCAAAATTCAAGTGACAGTCAAAATTCAACGCCTGATTTAATTTCTCTAGAATCACCAGTGAAGGAATCCAAATCGAAAACTGATCGAAATTCATCGCAATCTAATTGGTACATGAATCTAGAGTCGACGTCATCAAATGTTAATGCAAATTATAAGAATACCGTTGAATCGGGGAAAGTAAGTGATATTAAAATGTAAAACATCATCAAAAGCATCATTTTCATCAACTCCGTGGATTATTCAGAAACTTTTTTTCTTTAGAATAATTTACTATATGTGTAATTATTTTACCATTATGCAATTTTTTTTATTCGACTTTTATTCAAACGCTTATTTTATTTCGATATTTTATAATATTTTGATAATCGAATTTTTATATTTTATATTCGAATTTTATATTTTGATATTCGAATTTTATATTTTGATAATATAGAAATTTTAAACTCCATAATTTTATACATATCTTGATATTAAATATCAAATTATTTTACTCATACTTTTATAATTTACTTTATTTTTCGTACATTTTGTAGAACTTGTATTTTTTAATAAATATTTCATTTGCCATAAAGTGTTATCGTGTTTATTAACAATATTTGTTTCTTTGCAATTTTCACTTCCTTGAAATGGTTTTCGAAAGGAAAAATAGTTTAAAAAATTCTTTTTAACTTCTCCGTCTTCATTCATAGAATCATTTTCTAATTTGTGATTTAAAAAAAAAATATTTCTATTTCCTATTCTATTTTTCTCTTTTGCAGTTTCTCTACGCTTTATATGACTTTAATGGAAAGCAACAAGCGACATTGCCTGTTGTTAAAGGTCAGGCATTAAAATTAATTGCACCGCATGATCAAAAAGGAAATGAGGCATGGTGCCTGATGGAAAATCGAGACGGTGAGAGAGGATATGTTCCTCGTAATTATATGGGCCCTAAGGAATTATTACTATTAATGAACTAGATTTTGTACATATGAAAACAATTTTTAAATCGTGATTTGCCATTTCAATAATGTGCCTCAAATTTTTTTTTTGTATAAATATCTTTAATCTTTTTTTAAAGACACCGAACTGATAGTTTACTTGCCTTTTTCTATTTTTACAAAAGAATTTTGTTTTAAAAGAAAAGAAATTTTTTAAATAGTTATAGTTATTGATAGTTTATAGAATGCAGATTTTAAAAGAATTTTTTTATCTAGTTTCAAAACCAAAGTATTATTGTTGTGTTAATATTAAAAGATTAGATCTATAGAGAATTTAAAATTCCATTGTATATATTTATTACTGTTATAAGAAATTGTTAGTATTTTTTTTAATGTTGTCACTTGTGTTTGTGATTTTAAATTCAAAGAAAAGAAAAAGTCACATTTTTAGCAATATTTCGAATAAGAACTCTTTGTACGCGTTTTTTTTCAGATCTTTAAAAATATTATACTATCTGTGATAAGCAGTTTCCTTTAAAGTTAAAAAAAAATTTCACAAGAGATATATTTTAGAATATTTATGAAAATTACTGAAATTGTATTGTCACGATGCTCCACAAGTTTTGAACGTTCAAAAGAACGAAATTTTATTTTTTTGCCAATATAAATATTTTCAAAAAATATAATTTAACTGACTGTTATAAAAAGCAAAAACAAAATAAATTATTTTAATTGATTTTTTCAATAAAATTTAAAGAAACAAATTTCATTCATTGAAACGTTCAAAACATTAGGAACATTTGTCATGATTAATTTTATTCTCTATTGTCTTTATTTATCAATTGATTTTAATATGTATTTATTATATTTAAGAGAAATTATGTCATTTGCAGAAAAATGGTGAAACTCAAAGTATATTTTTTATCAAGATCTTGTAAAATTGTAAAATAAATCATTTTTTTCTGAACTTTGTATTATATTTATGAAATTTCGTTTTGAACATTCAAACGAAAGAACTTTATTTATTTTTTCTTAAAATTAAAATTTTATTGCAAAAAAAATCACATCACGTATTAAGAAAATAAATTATGATTCTAAATTTTTAATTTCGTTTTTGGTTTTTATTGCTATTAGTAATTTTTTAATAAATTTAATTCAGTAAAATATTTCGTTACACTGAACGATTATTTAATTATTTAATTAATTTAATTAATAGAAATAGAATAATTTTTGTAATCAGAAATTTTTTTAGGTATTAACAAATTAAATTTATTGAAGAGTAGGTAAACTAAAAGTGTTGAATAAAAAGTAATTGGACAGAATATTATTCAGGATTATCACCAAAATTTAGTTATGTTTTCCTGATGTCCATAAAGAGTTATTAACTTTTTTCCTTATCCTGATAATAACTTGAATTCTCACTTTTTGTAAAATTTAAAAATCTCCAGATTTTCAGTTAGAATTCCTCAAAAATTCGGTTATATTTAAAAATAAATTTTGAGAGTAAAAACAGTAAAATTCTTTAATATATAAAATTTTTTTAAACGAAATTTGACAAAAAATGTTAATTGTTTCAATTTTTAAAAATTATTTTCGGGAATTCAATTACTTATTATCTTTAATGAAAATTTAATTTAAACTTTTCAAAAATTTCATTTTTTCAGAATTTCTAAATAAAATTTTTAAAATCTGCAATAATTTTGTTAAATAAATATTCGAATATTTATTTTTCTACAAAATTAAAATTTCTTAATATTCTTATTGTAAAAATTTGGAATTTAATTATTTCTACAAATTACGACTGTAGGTAATTCTTTTGAAGCTAAATTATTTTAAAAAATTTTTTAATTAAAATTATTCAAATCTTTAATAACAATTTTTATTTGAAAATAAACTTGAGAATTTTAAAACACTGTTTATAAAATAAAGGAAAAAATCGTTTTCATAATTTAAATGTTTTGAATTTTAAAATTAATGTATCAAAAATCATTGATATTCTCGCAAAGTATTTATCAAAAAATTTCACAATTGAATTCCTTTAAAAAATTTTGAAAAATAATAATTGAATTCTTTAGAGTTTTATTAAAATTGTATTGAAAATATTTGAATTCTCTCAAAGAATGTTATTATTTTAAAAAATAATTGAATTCTTCCAAAAAATGTGATTAAAAGTAGGGGAGAGGTACGCACGTTGAGACGGGTTCTGTTTTTCAGTTATAATTTTTAAAAAACAAAATTTAGCGAAAAATTCGAAATGCTTTCTTAAAAGTATTGTCCAGGGCTACAACATTGCCAAAGAAAGTTATTTTTTTGGACAAAATTGAAAAATTTATAGCTGATTTTTTAAACATGTTATTTTTGACCAAAAAAAAAAGTGGTACGCACGTTGAGACACCCATAATAATTTATTTTAAATTGAAACAAAATGAATAATTACGTCAGATTCTAATTGTTTGTTGTTTATTTACTTATTTTGACGGTCTTAGCTCAAAGAAAAAAAATTAAAACATTAAAAATTAACTTAAAAAAATAATCAAAAAATAAAATTTTATTTTGCACAAAAATAATTAATCGAAATTTTTATATTCGCAATTTTTACAGGTGAAGAACATGTAAAACGCTTAAAAATTGTGGATTCAAAATCAATTTTAATGACAGTACTATTTTCACACCGTGAGCGTTTTAACCTGCGTACCCACAGTGTGTCTCAACGTGCAGACCTTGCCGATATTTTTTTAAAGCTTTGAAATTATTTGTGGACGTCCACATGAAAAGGGCCCATATTGTCGGTTCTAGTTTTCGAGATAATCGCAATTTAGTAATTTTTGAGCAAATTCTTAATTTTTTTTTTATTTTTTATTATCAATCTACATGTTTTGACAATTCGAATCATGCGGTTTTCATTAATTTATCGATAATTTAACTGTTTGGTTTCATTGGTTCTTTAGAAAAATGAAAAGGGCCCATATTGTCGGTCATTTGCAAAAGTAATCCGTATTTTAAAAATGGAGGTATAGAAACATTTAAAACCTCTTGATTTTTCATCTCTAAGGTGTCCTGGACTGTAAACAATTCTTATCTGAATAACTTCCGAGAAGAACCAGAGATATTGATGTTAGAGTCTTTTTTTCGTAATTATCGAAATGAAAATTTGTATATTTCGTCAATTTTTTCATAATAGAGACTGTCAAAAATTTTTAAATAAATTTAATATCTATTCCTTTTCTTCAAATGACACAATAAAATTGTACCTAATCATTAATCCTGTAAAAAAAATGGTTTTTTAATAGAAAAACTGTCATTTTTAGAAAAGGGCCCATATTGTCGGTTTCTCGTACTTAAGTACGAAATTTTTCAAAATTAAGAGGGGGGAAGGTTTTAAAAATTTAAAACTTATTGGTTTTTCATCTTTTAGGTACCCTGGACTGTAAACAATTCTTATCTGAATAACTTTCCAGAAGAACCAGAGATATTGATGATAGAATCTTTTTTTCGTAATTGTCGAAATGAAAATTTTAATATAGCGTCAATTTTTTCATAATAGAGACTGTCAAAAATTTTTAAATAAGTTTAATATCTATTCTTGTTCTTCAAATGACACAATAAAATTTTACTTAATCATTAATTTTGTAAAAAAATATTTTTTCAATAGAAAAACTGTCCTTTTTAGAAAAGGGCCCATATTGTCGGTTTTTAAATTAATTAATTAAGGGGAGGGGGTGGTTTTAAAAATTTAAAACCTGTTGGTTTTTTGTCTTCAAGGTGCCCTGAACTGGAAACAATTCTTATCTGAATAACTTCCAAGAAGAACCAGAGATACAACAATTAGTTGGTATCGCAATCTTTAATTCCGTTTTTCTCGAAATGAGGTTTTTGGCGTTCTAAACTTTGAAATTCCGTAACTCAGCGAATTTTCAACAAAAAAAGTTCTAAGACCACTCAAAATTTTCCAAATTTTGCCAGGAATACGCCCATATAGATAACTCCAATAGTGCCAAAATGGGCCCTTTTCATGTGGACGTCCACATTTGTAGATGTTAACGTATGTCTAAATTTTTGTCGGAACTTTAAAGTAGAACCAAAATTGATATGTAAATGTTATCCGCAATTTTTTCTGCCACTAAAAAATACATGGTAAATACACTAAACAGAAATTCTGAAAAAAACTTTTTTTAACTAAAAAATTGGTTCGCTCTAGTTCTACCGAAAAAAACAGGAGTTATTGCGCTTTTTTTGAATAAAAAGTTTGGTATTAATGATACGACAAAATGCCAATAAAATTTTTGGTATAATCAGTTACACAGGTTATAATATCTTAGTGTCTCAACGTGCGGACCGTCTCAACGTGCGTACCTCTCCCCTAGTGAAAATAATTTACTTATTCTTGTCAAGAATTTTATTAAAATTTTTGAATAAAATTAAATTGTTTAGAAGAATTTATTTGAATTTTTGAAAATAATGTAGTTTTTTAATAATTTTAATTGAAAATTTTTAAAATAATTGAAATTTACCAAAATTTTTACAATCAAATTTTTTTAGAATTATTTTAAAGAATTTTATCAAAATTTTAAAAAATAATTGAATTCTTTCGAAAAATGTTATTAAAAATTTTTTCAATGATTTAATTATTTCGTAAAATTTGATTGAAATTGTTTTGAAAATTTGAATTCCTGCGAAGAATTTTACTATTTATAAATATAATTGAATTCTTCCAAAGAATGTTATTATTTATAAGAATAATAATTGAATTCTTGCAAAAAATTTCATTATAATTTTTGAGTATAATAAGTAAATAAAATTAATTATGTATTTAATAAGAGAATTTAAAAATTTTTAATTTGAAATTATTACCAAATTTATGCTTCCTATATTTTAAAATATAATATTTTTTAATTTTAAAAATATTAATAAATCGCCTACTGCGATTTTTTTGCAAAAAAGCATATGAAAAGTGTGGAAAAAAGTTTAATTTTTCTGTCGAAAAATGAATTTTCTTGCATCTATTCCAAAAAATAATAAAATAATTATTATACACTTCCATAATAAATAAACTTAGTAAAAAAAAATAGTAATAAAAAAACTTGTCTCTCCAAAAATCGTAAAATTAAAGGACAAGTAAAAAGATACCAATTTATAGAAAAATCGTAATCGCTATATTGCATTACATATTATAATACATTAACTGCCGTAACTATTCTTACAATTAATATAATGACGTGTGTGCTTATTGACTATAAATATCATCTAATAATAATTAATAGTAAAAAAAAAATGCGTTTAAATAAACGAACAGTCTTTCAAGGTACAGTAATATTGTAGAATTGCGATATAAAGCGTTTCTTTTCTTTCTTGCACATTATATCCTGTAACTAATTTAAATTTTTACAATAATTGTAAGATTTTCGGCAATTTCACTCAAAAATATCAACTAAAAGAAATACTGATCTATTAAATGGTGAACAACGAGAAATTACTCAACTTATCTCCTCACAGGCCGTTTTTCTTAATAATTCTATGGCCTAAAATGCTTTTTTCTTCTGACATCCCTTTCCTTAGCTCACGTCTCAATACTAAATCCATTGTTTTAATAACATTCTACGACTAACATTAAATATAGTATCACGGTATTATAGCCTCGATTAAATAGTACAGAGAAATCTCTTTTTTCAAATTAATCTTATTTTTTTTTGTAAATTTAAAGCTAATTTTGTTAAAAACTATGTTTTTTAATATCATTGAATTTGTGTATAATTCATTAAACTAATTGAACATTTGAAATTTTATTGAAGTTCATTTTTTTGATATTTTTTCATTTTTTGAAATTCACTTGAATTTCTTATTTAAAGTCGATTAAAGTTCTAAATATATATGTTTGAATTTTATAATTTCATTAAAAGTTTAATTTGTAATATAATTTCTAAATAAGAAAAGTAATTTATATTTATAGTGTAAAGACTAGATTAATGAATTAATTATTGAATTGAGAAAAGAAATTTCTCTTGAAACATCTGTCAAGCAAAATGATTTTCATTTATAATGCACTAATCCATTCTCGTTTTATAAGTGGATTCTAGGGAATTTAAGATACAAAATTTGTACAAAAATGGATACAGATTATTAGAATTATTTTTCTTTTCATTAGAGGCCTCATTTTTAACAAGAAGGCTAGTTTTTGAATAATTTGCTCGAATTTTTCAGATGTTTCTCTCTTTTTTTTTTTTCTTTCTAAGTATTAATCGAGGCGCAAATAATTTAACCGTTTTTTTTTTGACAATCATTGACATTATGTTTCTCGAAGTAAAAACCATGGCGAGTATGAGACTTATTGAAAACAAAACGCGCGTACAATTGGCGCGTTATAATCATCGATGCTTTAAAAATTCGCAAAGATGGAAAACATTTCACGACTTTCAAATCGTCGAAATTGCTCCTCAAGAGCTGGTTACATTTTAATCAGTTGGATAGAAGCGTAAAATGGCTCTGCCGTAAATTTCCGAGTGACAGAGTTTATGAACAACGTCGAGAGCATCTTCGGCTGGATAAACAGTGTGCGGCGGTGGTTCCAATTCACCGGAAGCAACAAGTTGTACCAAATCCTTTAATTGCTCGAGAGTTCCTGTTTCTACTGGTTTAATGCTCTGCTGTCGTTCGTCGGCTTTTCTGCTGAATTTTGGAAGCAGTCTGTCAGCGACTTCCTTGATGACAAAGACAACGCCGCCCTTTGTTAAGCATTGTAAGCTGCGATGAAGACTTCGCGATGTGGTGCCAAAATCAATCACCACATCGACAGATCCTTGGCAGGCATCAATTGTGCGCTCGATCAATTGCCTCTCGTAAAGATCCTCGCTCCATTGAACCACATTCACCCTGTAATCAGGAAAATTACTATTTGGTAAATAAATTATATGCGATTCTACATTATTCGGAAGAGAACAAGTGTAGATCATTTTATTGAAATGTTGACTTTTTATTTCAAGTAGCACCAAATATTGAGATGTCCCTTAAAATTTTATTCCACTTTTTTACTAATTATTCCTTTAGTTTTATTTTTTTTTCACTTTTTATCCCACGTTCTCATTTCTTTATCAGAATTGCTATTGAATCTTCTTTAAAAACAATACCTTTATTAGCTCGTCCCACTAGTTATCAAAAACAATAATAATACAAAACACCTGAAAGGGTTAAAAGCCGATAAGAAAAATCAATTTATTGGTTATTAAACATGTCTCAAACGTCCATGAAAATGTTATGTAAAAAAAAGACACAAAGTGATCAACAGGTGAATAACGAGTGCAAACTAATCAATATTTTGTGCTCGTGCAAGCTAAAGTGCATTAACTAAAGAATATACAAGAAAAAAGACAGTTTTTCTAAAGCTTCTCTTCTCTCATTATTATCAACCTTGAAAATTATAATTATTAATATTCGCAGAAAAATCGAATCTATACGTTAAGAAAAATTGCGTATGTAGGTATATAAATAAATAAATAAATAAAATATTTGACTATATGAAAAAAATCGTAAATTTTATCTGAAACGCCAGATTGTTATTTATTATATCATCAGATAAGAAGGAAAAATTAAAAAATCGTCTCCTTGAATTCTTGAGATTAGAAGAAAGAAGTAAACGGTACACTTGACCCCGATATAGTTTTATCACAGATATTATCAAAGATATTCTGTTATTGTTTCAACAAGAAAAATTAGTTTTTCTTTATATACTGTTGTATTTTATGAATTTCCTCATTTTATTGTCGATTAAAGATTAGAATCATAGAAATTGTTATTGTCAAAACAAAATTCTCAGATAATAAAATATCTTTTTTTGAAAAATTATCAAGAATTTAATAAGGAAAAATAAATCGAGAAAATAAATTTTGCTACTGAATTATAATGGATCATTAAAAATTGAAAAAATAAATATTCGAAGTAAATGATTCTATAATAAATTATAGAAGGAAATGGTTCTGTACTAAATTATAGAAGCTAATGATTCTAAAATATATTATAGAAGCAAATAATTCGATAATAAATGGTTCTATAATAAATTATAGAATAGCAAATGATTCTATGATAAATTTTAGAAACCAATGATTCTTTAATTAATTATAAAAACAAATGAAAAGATGAAAAAGAAATTAAATTAAATTGCAGAACAAAAAACAGGGAAAATAAATTAGATAAATTAAATTGCTAATTACCTAATGATTCACGAAAGGAGATAATTGAAAAAACTATTTACCAAAGTGTTCAAAAAGTCAAAGTATCATTGTCTGTATAGTTAATATTATTGCTTTATAAATAAACATTAGGTGTTCCAGACTCAGTAAACAAAGTAATTTTTCTCTTGTAAAAAAAACGGACTTTGAACTTTATACAAGAAAATCCAAATTATAGTCGTTTGGAAAATTCTCCACGGGTTGAGGATTATTTTTCCTTCTTTGCTCTTTTTTTACTGAATATTCACAAGATTTGATAAATTTTAATATAAAGAATTTAATTTAATTGTTCTTAATTAATTTTATTAATTTAAATTGATCAAGTTCGCAACGTTTACAATCAAGGATTTTGAAGAAAAAATATTTTTCTATTCAAATTTTCTGTTTCGTACTTTTTTAATAATTTTTCTTTTTAAATGATTTCAATTTAAAAATTAATGTATTGAAAATTATTGAATTATTCTTGCAAACAATTTTATCAAAAAGTTTTGAAATAATTGAATTCATTTAAGGAATTTCATTAAAATATTAAAAATAATTAAATTTTTTATCGAAAAAGGTTTCAAAGTAACTGATTCTATAAAAAATTATAAAAAAATTATTCTATAATAAATTATACAAGTAAATGATTAAATTATTAAACGTTTTGAGAAAAATTGAATTCTTTGGAAGAAAATTTTTATTTTTAATATAATTCATTTTGTTAATAACTAGCAAAAACTGACGCGCGCGAGCGCGCGTGCATTTTTTTTCAACGTTTTATTTTAAATAATTAAAACTTTATTTTTTCAGCGAATTTGAACCATTATGATGTCACAATTTTTTAGCAAATGCTGTGAACAAATTGTGACGTCATTATGGTTCAAATGCCATTAAAGAAATTATTTCATCTTCTATTAATTAATATATTTTTGCATTTTCTTTTTTTATATAAATAAATTAAAATTTTTATTTATTAATTGAAAATATCTGTTCGCAGTTTATATTTTTTTTTTGTTTAATATTTTAATAATTTTATGTTTTAATATATATATAAATATATTTTTTCTATTAAAATAGCAATTCTTTAAAATTATTATTATTATTTTTAAGGGTATTTTAATTATTATTATGACGTTATAATGTTTTAAATAAATTTAAAAAATGGAAATGCTGGAAAGAATGAAAAATACATTTTTTTTAGAAATATAAAATTATTCAATTAACATCTTCTATCTTTATATCTTCTCTCTATATTAATATCTTCTTCTTCTTCTATCTTCTTTGATTTAGTTGTAATTTACTTTTTTGTTTCCTATCTTCTTTAATAATTTTATGTTTCAATATTTTTAATTTTAATTAAAATTAATATATTGAATTTCATTTAAATTCTTGCAAAAAATTTGAGAATCATTGAATTTCTTCAAAAAATGTCATTATTTATGAAAATAATTCAATTTTCGCTAAAAATCATTAAATCAATTTTGGAAACCCTAATTAAATTTTTCTGAAGAATTATTTTTTATTTTTTGTTTAATAATTGTGTTTCTTTAATAATTTTAATTGGATATTTTTAAAGTAATTTAAATTTATGAACAATTTTTTTCAAGTTTTTAAAACTAATTTTTAAATTTGTAAATTTAGTTGAAACATCTATTGTTTACATTTATCCCTTGTTTACAATTACCCCAAATGGCCCTAATTGTAAATTGATTGTTTTGTTGATTTTTGAATTTTATTTCGGAATAATTCAATTTTTTATTATGTATTTTTCATGATTTGAAGACTTTATATAGTCTTTAAAAGACTTGATAGTATTTAAATAGTTGAAATGAAAGGCGGTGCCTAAAGTATTTTTTTTAAGTTCATTATTTTTTTTTCTTTTTAGAAAATCTATTTTCTATAATATTGTGTTAAAAAAAACGTTAACATTTTATATTTTATTTGAACAGAAGATAACGATAAGTTTAATTCTTGCAAAAGAAAGCACTTATAAGTTAATTCTACACACAAACACACACAGAAATACGTTTATTTTTTACGTAAGTGCCAATAAATTAATTTCAATTTTTTATTTAAAATGAAATAATTTAATTTTGAATTAATTGTATTTTTGATATTTGAATAATTAATTATTATTTTGAACAATTACATTTTTCAATGATTTCAAAATAATTAAATTTTTATTAAAAACAGAATAATTTATTTTTGAATTAATTAAAATTGTTTGATTTATTTTTGAATAATTAATAATTGACTTTTGAATTATTTAAAATTCAAATATTGTAAAAAATTAATAAAATATTTAAAAAAACAATTTATTTTTAACATAATAAAAAAAGTAATTTATTAAAATACTAAATTCAAATAGATTTTGAATTGCAATTATTTTTAAAAATAAATAAATTTTTTGTGTAAAATCATTTTTTTAAAATTAATTAAAATTTGAAACAATTGAATTTTTTTTTTTCATTTTTGAAAAATTAATTATTTCGAACAATTTTTTAAACATAAAAGAACCAGGAGCTATTATCACTCATAATAGCAATCAAAAAAAGCACACACTAAAGGGATCGCTCTTCCCAAAAAATTTAGACTCTAGATCCTGCACTGTATAAGTTAATAATTGAAGATTAATTAAATTTTTGAAAAATTAAATATTAAAAAATTAATTATTTTGAATAATTAATATTATTGAATAGTAATTTACGAAAACGACCAATGTAATAAAATTTAGAACGATATTTTTTATTGATTCAGGAAAATTGAATTTTTTAATTAAAATTAATAATCGTTGAAAATTGAAAATAATACAACTTTTATTGACAATTCGATATTTCAGTTTTTTTAGATTTTAAAAATGCATAAAATTTTCAATAATAATAATAAATCAAAATACAATAAATATTATCAATTATAATTATAAATAAAAAAAAATAATAATAATAATAATAAGATATACGAATAAAATTTGTTTTTAAGTTATTTTGAGATTTTTATTTAACAAAATAAAATGAAATAATATAAATGATTTAATTAAGAAGAAAATTTTAATTAATAATTAGAATTTACCAATCTACAGTTTTTTTTCCACTGAAAACGGTAACCTCTCGCCTGATACCAGATATTTTTCCACGATTTTTCAAACACAATAATTCTTGTCACAATTTAACGTTTTTTAAAAACACCCGCACTACCGCATAACATAACATCGGAAATGTCAAAACATCACGAAAAATATAAACAAACAAAAAAATCATGATAATAATTCGCAAATGATAACTAACAACTAACTTCATACTGCGAACGGACAGAATGAAAAACCACAGACTTTAATAAAGTTAATTGAATCATTTCGAGAAATTTTATTAAAATTATATTGAGGTAAATAAAAAATACCAACATTAAAATTATATTGAAAATTATTAAATTCCTGAGAAGATTTTTATTATTTTTAAAAATTATTTAATTCTTTTAAGAATTTTATTTATTGAAAATATTTAAAAATAATTGAATCATTTCCTGAAATTTGACTAAAATTGTGTTGAAAATAATTGAATCCCTGCGAAGAATTTTAATATTTATAATAGTAATTGAATTGTTTTGAAGAATTTTATCAAAATTTTAGTAAATAATAATTGAATTCTTTCGATAAATATTAAAAAATTCTTTAAATAATTGAATCTTTTCGTTAAATTTTATTAAAATTATATTGAAAATAATTTAATTCCTGAGATGAATTTTATTATTTATAAAAATAATTGAATTCTTTCAAGCTATTTTGTTAAAATTTTTTTTTAAATAATTCAATTTGTTTAAGAACTTTACCTATTTATTAAAAATATTTAAATATTAATTGAATCTTTTTATTAAATTTTATTAAAATTGCATTGAAAATAATTGAATCCCTGAGAAGAATTTTATTATTTATAAAAATAATTAAATTATTGCGAAGAATTTTACTATATTTATAAACATAATTGAATGCTTACGAAGAATTTTATTAAAATTTTTTAAAATAATAATTAATTATGTGTGATTTTTTAAAATTTTGAATCTGTAATTATTCAAAAATTAAAATTTATAATATTTGAAAATAAAAAATTTTCTAATTTGCATAATAATAATAAATGGTTTCGGTTGCGTAAAAGTTGCTAGTTTTTTAATAATTTAATTAATTAATTTTTTTTTTAAATTAAATATTTAGGGAATGAAATTTCTTGTGTAAAAAGTACTTTTTCATGACAATTTATTGTTGATCATAAAGATTGTGAATATCGCGAACGACTTGAATTGCTCGTTAAACATAAATTTAATTTCGATTCAATTTCCTAAGAGAGAGAAGCTTCAGAAAAACACAAAGCAACATTTTCTAAGATCTAATATTTACGTATTTCTATGAAAGTAAAAGTAAATAAAATATTCTACCGTTGGAATTCCTGCGCCAAAATAAGACCGTCATCCTTAAGAGTGGCAACGGCAATGGCGACACGATCTTTCATATTGGTGAAATGATAAGCGGCAATTCGCAGAGCCCAAAGTGCGAGACCACCAGTGCCAACGATGAGAATTTTGCAGAGACTATTTGCACCTCGTTCCTTCAGCAAATTCTCGACATGCTCATGAGCAGCGAACACAGTGTTCATGGCCAAGAGAGCACCAGCCGGTAGCATGGCAGCCACACTCAATGGCATACTGTCCGGTATTTTTATCAAGTACTTCAAATCATTGACCACCAGGTATTCAACGTATCCATTGGGAATGCCCTCGTAATATGGATAGAGAATCACTCGTTCTCCAACTTGATAGCCACAGTCGTTGGGCACGCTTGAGCCCAATGATTCGATGACTCCTGCGACCTCGTAACCAGGAAAGAGTGCGGCGTCTCGCATTCCATGATGTGGTATTACTGCTGGAAAATCGCCCTCAACTGAGACTTCTGTTGCCAAACTGCTTCCACTTGACACTGAATTCAAACTCGAGAGACTTGGCGAACGTTTAGGCTGATAACATGCTCCAGCGCAAACGACTCGTATTCTTGCTCCATTTGATGGGACATCCGGCACTGGGACGTCGAAACTGAAGACAAAATCACGACCCGTGATACAGGGGCTCTCGATGGACAACTGACGACAGAGCTTGTTCATCTTTCTTTCCCTGAAAAATAGAAACATAGAAAAATGTCAATTTATTTAGGTATTCACATGAGAAATTTGAATTTTGTAATAAGAATTTGAAAATTAAACCTATGAAAAAGTGGAGGAATATTTTTTTCATTATTTTATTTGTTTATTATTTATTTGACTTTTAATAAACTTTGAAGAAAATAATGTGTAAAAATAAATAAAAAATAAAAAAAACGTGCGGATAAAATTCACAACGATTACGTATTTTTTTCTCCCAACATCGTTAATTGGAAGATAAGAATACTTTTTACCAAAAAAAAAACAATACCTAATTTTAGTTTATAATTTTTTTTTTTTGGTTTCGATCAAAAAATATTTATAAACAATTTTTTAGACAAATATTTGAATAGAACATTATTTTATCACTTTCGATTTGAAAATATTTTTATAGAACTTATTTATTTTCTCTTATTCATTTTCCTAAAAGTTTTAAACATTCAATTTTACTCAAAAAACAAAAATGTCTTAGTTTATAGATACAAATTTTTCTTTTCTTAGGTGTCGGTAAAAAAATATTGTTAACATTTTTTTAGACAAAAATTGAATGAATGGGGAAAATATTTCATTTTCAATCTGAAAATATTTCTATCAAATTTATTTAATTATTCTTCATTTTCCTAAAGATTTGAACGTTCAATTTTATCTAGAAAACAATAATATTTTAATTAATATTAATAACAATTAATCGATTATTAATCTATATTAATAATCGTTGTATTCCGGTAATCTGTTCACAGTTTAAATTTACTTGTTGTTTGGTTTCTTTGTTTCCTTACTTTTTTAATAATTTTTCTTCTTAAATTATTTTCAATTTTAAAATTAATGCATTTTTAAATCATTAAATTCATGTAAAGAATTTTATCAAAAAATTTGAGAATAATAGAATTACTTCGAAGAATTTTATTATTTATGGAAATATCTACCAAGTTGAAGTCCACAACGTTGATCAACGAAAAAAAATTGTTCACTAAGTAAATTAATTAAAAATTACGCAGCAATATTCACAAAAAAATATTTAGAAAAAAAGGATTGATATTTATGTTTTGATAATAATTATTTTACAATTAAATATTAAATTAAAAATAATACTTGAATTTTACTAATTATAAAAATAATTGAATTGTTTCAAAGGATTTATAAGAATTTTAGAAAATTATTGAATTCTTTCGTAATTAATTTAAAAAATAATTAAAAATTAAAAATAATTTAATTTTTGCAAAAAAATTTACTAGGTATTTATAAAAATAATTGGATTCTTCCAAAGAATGTTATTACATTCTTTGGAAGAATCCAATTATTTTTATAAATACCTAGTCAATTTTTTTGCAAAAATTCAATTATTTTCAATTATTTATGAAAATAATTGAATTCTTGCAAAGAATTAACATTTGCTAAGTAATAATAATATTTTAATTTTGTAAATTTTTCTTTTTGAAGGTGTCGAAAATAATGAAAAAGTAACGTTTGTTAAGTTAAGAATTAACTTTTTTTAATATAAAAAATAATTTTTTGTTAATAAAAAAAAAATTAAACGAAGTAATAAAAAAATATCGTCATTTATGAAAGTTCAACACTTTAGGAACATTTTTCTTCTGTATCGTCGATTATAAACGTTGTAAACTTCACAAACGTAAAAAGTGAATAAAAAAATTTCAATATTTTCCAATAAATTTGATTAATATATTTTACTATATATTAATATATTTAATTAATTTACGAATTCGTCTGATTTGAAATTACTTTGAAATACAATACAATTCTCTGTATTTTTTGTTCTAAATTCGTATTCTTCATTTAAATACAAAAAATCTCTTTGTCTTTAAATCTTTAAAAACTAATGTGAATAAATAACTATTTTATAGCGTGTATGTTATATATTGTCTTCCAAGCGACCTTCATTCTTTCTTTGTTTAAAAATAAATGCTTATCATAACTTTTCGAAGGTATCATCATCATAATGTGTTCTACTGATGACTCTTCCTCCGTTCTCTCAAAAATAGTTCCCATATTTCGTTTTTTCTTAATTTTCCTTCTGTATTTTCATTACATTCTGTATTTCTTTATTTTCATTATTTTCTTTATTTCTTTATTTCCATTATTTTTTGTACTTTTTTATTTTCGTTATTTTCTGTACTTATTTATTTTCATTATTTCTTTACAATTCCTTTATTTCTTTTTAATTATGCAAATTTTAAATATAATTGATTTTTACTCAATTTTTGGACATTGTGCATAAACTGCTAAATACAATAATATTTTAACCACATTTATTCAAAAAATTATGACCCTGTAGTTTTGAACGTTCAAATGAATGAAATTTATTAATTACCATCAAAGATTCTGAACGTTCAAATGAAGAACGAAGTTAAAGTCCACAACGTTGATCAACGAAAAAACTTTGTTTAATCTATTCCAATATTATGTTTAATATAATATTTAATTGTATAACAATTATTATCAGATTATAAACATCAGTTTATTTTTTCTAAATATTTTTGTGACAATATTGTTCTGTTATCTTTTACTAATTTACTAAGTGAACAATTTTTCTCGTTGATAAACGTTGTAGACTTCAACGTGATAAATGAAGAAAAGGAATATTTTGTACGAACATTACTGACTGCATTAAAAATTATAAATGCAAATTAAACATTTCAGAACTTTATACATATTTTTATGACAAAATATTATTACAATAGAATTCGAATTTAACCAAATTTCATTCTTCTGAATGCTCCAAACTTTAGAGACATTATCTTTATTTCTTCTTCAAATTAAAATTCTAAATGTTTCATTTTATTTTTGCTTTCTGTAAGTTATTAGTAATTTTTTTTGAAAATATTTAAATATTTAAATATACTGCAAAAATACTTTGTGAATGAAGTGACTAAGTAAATAAATAAGGAATTAAATAAATAAAGAAATAAATAACTAAATAAGAGAATAAATAAATAAATAACTAAATAAGTAAATAGATAAATAAATAAGTAACTAAATAAGTAAATAAACAAATAATGAAATAGTCAATTAAAAAGGATTCCATTCACATTTTTTGAATTGTCAGCTGTAAATTGCACTTGAACGAAAAATAAACAGCAACGAGGAAAGTGAAGAGAAAGTTTTGTATTAAAGATTATTACAGGAAATAATAAAAATCCCACTGTACCCATTAAATTCCGGATGTTTTTTGTGAGGTTCTGTTATGGGAGCAATTTCAACAGGCATGATGACAAGATGAAATCGTCCTTTTTTTATTTCGAAAAAAATATAGTAATAAATATCCTGTCTTTGTGGAGATCACTTTGTTTTTTCTTTGATATTCAACAAGAACAACAACAACAACAACAACAAAGATTTGTTTCCACTGTTTTCTTTTTCGTTTGACAAAACAGTAAAAATACTTTTTCTGTTTATTCTAAACGAGAAAAGAGAAACAGATTTTCTATTAACACAATAACTTGGAAACAGAAGCGCGACGTACTAAACTGAGCGCAGAAGCTTTTGATGTACTTATATATACGCAGCTAATGGAGGAGGAATCAAAAAAGTGGGGTGAGCACTCGGAAAACACGTGCTACAACTGTTTTCTGAGTGCTCCAGAGAAGCATATATCCTATAGACCATCGAGACATGATTTAACAATAATGGTGTTTACTGATTTCTATACCAAAAAATAGACGTAATAGATTATTGTAATTTGAAGGACTTATTATTGTCAACTTTTTTTCTAACACATTCATTTCAAATAATATTATGTTATTTGATATTTATTTCGTCACTTCTATTTATATCACTCAATTATTTTCGTTTAATTGGATTTTTAGATTAATTTCATTTTATTTATTTCTACTATTATTTATCTATTAGAAACGAATTTACACTTTTTAGAAGATCCACTTCAGTGAAGTTTACAATTTTTATAATCTTTTGCAGAAAAACAATATTTTATATTTCACACTAAGAAAAAATCAAATTTTTCTATTTACAATTTTTTTTTCAAGTACTTGACAATTTCTATTTTATTTTACATTTTTTTCTTCGTCATTTTTATTTTTTTCATTTAAATTTAATTTACAGTGAGATAATGTATTGTAAAAACTATTGTATGAAGTATACAATGAAGAAATATTTGAACAGAAAAATTTGTAAAAAATTTCCAAAGCGAAAATCTATAAAAGTTTGCTTATAGACAAAAAGTTGTTTTTTTAAATCTTTGGTTTAGAAGAACGTTTAGTATAGTGACATTTAAAAATGATTCGAATTTAATAAAATATTACTTATTTTCTTCAGAAAATAATCCCCTAAAATTTCACCGCACAGATTTCTAAATACACACGCAGTTCTAAAAATATGATTATTTGTTTACAAGAAAATTTAGACTATTTTTAAATAATTATATTTTCAAAATAGACTGCTGGATTAAAAATTCTTAAAGTGAAGTTAAGGAGAATTATTTTTTGAAGAAAATAAGCCATATTATATTAAAAATTAGAAACAATATGACAGAAAATTTAGATCATTTGCAAATTGTATAAACAAATAAACTTAGTAAGTTTACATTTTTTTCTTGCAAATATTGATATTTATTCTTCTTCAGAAAATACTAGGATCTAATCCCATTTTTTTCAATAATATTTTTTTAATATTTAGAATTTTAAAATTAAAGAGAAATTCTAGTTTCATACATTTTTATAAATTGTAAACTTCTTCTCACGAATTCTCTATTTCTATAAATAATACAATTTTTCTCAGGAATAAAATTATTTTCAATACAATTTTCATAAAATTCCTCGAATAGGTTACATTATAGTTTTAAAGTTGGAAAAAAAATTTTCTAAACAATTAAAATATTCTCAAAACTTTTCATAAAATTTTGTATAAATTTAAATTACTTACAAATGAAATTAATAAAAAAAACTACATTATTTTCAAGAAATTTAAAGATATTGTTCAAAAAAATTTAATTTTTTACGAAAACATTAATAAAATTGTTTAGAAGAATTCAATTTTCTATCAATAATTTTAATCAAATTTAATAATAAAATTATTAATTAACTACATTATTTTTAAAAAATTCAGATAAAAACTTCAAAACAATTCAAATATTTTAAAACATTTTAATAACATTATTTAGTAGAATTCTACTATTTTCAGAAATAAATAATAAAGTTTTTTGATAGAATTAAATTCTTTCCAATACAATTTTAATAATATTTCTCAAACAGATTCAATTATTTTTAAAAATTTTGATTAAATCATTCAGAGGAATTCAATCATTTTCAAATTTTTTAATAAATACTTCGCAAGAATTAAATTATTTTAAATTCAATACATTAATTTTAAGATTCAAAACATTTAATAAGTAAAATTATTAAAAAAGTTAGAAAACGAAGATGAAAACAACAACCAACTTCAAACTACGAACAGATTCCCGAAATAAAATGATTATTATTAATGCAGAAGAAGATTAAATTCTTTCGAGAAATTTTATTAAAATATTTGATTTTTATTTAATAATTGAATTTCTACTAAAAATTTTATTATTTACGAAAATAATTGAATTCTTTAGAGAAATTTTATTAAAATTATATTGCAAATAATTGAATTGATTCAGGAAATATTTGAAAATAAATAATAATACCTAATATTATAGTTAAAATGTAAATGTTTTTTAAATTTTGAACATGAAATTATTAAAAAACTGAAGTTTATACATGAAAATAAAAAATTTTGTTATTTGCATAATTATAATAAATAGTTGAATACCTCATTTTGCGCGCGAGATATTTGTTAGATAATAGTAAAATTTTAATTTTGTAAATGTTAATTGATTTTTTAAGGTCTACCATTAAATGAAAATTAACATAAAAAAATAAAAATTCAATCGCAGATCATATAAAAAGTAAAAATTAGATTATTAAAATTCCACCCTAATATTTCTTGTAGTGTTGTCTGATTTTTGAATATTCCTAAAATATTGTTTGCAACATATTTTTTTAACAATACCTTCTGTTTCAATGGAATTTTGAAGGTAAATATAAACTTTCCCAATAAAGTACAGCAGTTTCGAAAATAGATTCAATTCACAGTAGCAGCTTCACAGTTATAATACCTGTAAAAAAAAGAATAATTTTATTTAATAAATTAACATTTTTTAATTATCTAATGCAAATTTAATTTTATTCCTGCAACCAATTGTTGTTGCTCATATTAATTTATGACAGTAATTTCAAGTAATGTAAATTCCCATTAATATTTAATCAATATAATTAATTTTAGCTCAGTTAATTAATTTTGCTGTCAATCAACAGTATTTTCAATAATCAGTAAAAAAATAACTTTTTTCGAAACAATTCTTGAAAAAATTATTTTTGTATTATCGAACTGGTTACGAACATAATGTATGTTTATTAAATGAAAATAAAGGAAATATAGGTCATATAATGATTGGTTTGCAAAATGTAAGTTTCGCAGAGGTTGGACAAATGTCTGACAACCCTGACCTGTCCCACTTGTTATCCGACGAGAAGGTCAGTTTGTAAATTTAATATTCCGTTTAGATTTTCGATTCAACCCGTACTCAACACTTGTGTTTAATTTAACATTCTTCTTCGAGTTTTTCTTTTCAAATTTTTTTTAACACTTGAAAAAATATCACCTAACAGTTTTTGTCATAATTATACAAATTTTCCCCTATTTAATTTATTTTTCAATGCACAAGTAACGACAGAGGGAATTTTTTTCAGAAACTAATTCACGCGATAATTAACGGAAGCTAATTTATTGTGTTTTCAAAAAAGAAATTTAAAAATAGAAAATCGTATTTAAATTTGCCTAAAAATCTTAATCCCACTATATATTATACGTATAACTGGAAACGTTAACCTTGACCTGATCCTTATTGTATAATCGTTGGGTTATTGAACGTTCACCTTGATATATTATTGTTTCAGTTTATAAAAAATTATTAATTCTAAAATTAGTTTAAAATCACTTGCAAATTAATTTAATTTAGGTTTATTTTTTATTAATTTAATCTTAACTTATTTCTTCATTAATTTATTATAAAAAAATAAATTTTTTTTACTTCAATTTATTTTGTTTTAATTTTTTTTCTCTTATTAATTTAATTTTGATCTATTTCGTATTAATTTAATTTTTATTTATTTCCTATTAATTTAATTTTTATTTGTTTCCCATTAATTTAATTTTTATTTATTTCCTATTAATTTAATTTTAATTCATTTTTTATTAACTTTTATTCCTTTTCATTAAAATTTCGAATTATTTTGAATATTTATTTATTGAATTCCAATTTTACCGAAATTAGTGAAATTTAAAAACAAACATCGTATTATTTTGAAAATATGTTAATTTTTCTTGACAGTGTTTGTCTGTTAAATGGAAATCAAATAGATTATATAAAAAAACCAAATTCCTTGTGATCAAAGTCGAAAGAAGAAAATCGATGATTCATGAATGAAAATAATTAGAATTAATTAATTTCCCTAAAGATATGTAAAAAAATTAAAGTGACACTGCAATTCAAAAATTGTATTTTTAACATTTTAGATAAATTTATTATTATTGAATAATATTTGAATTAGTTGAACATTAAATTGAAAATCTTTGTAAAATACGTTCCTTTTTTTAATTTTGATAAATCCTCAGACCTTGGAAATATAATTCATCTCTTACATAAACGTTCTATTGTCAACTATTTGATCGCTATTTAAGACTATTAAAACTTAATTAAAATGACTTTGCTGCAATAATTCCATTTTTTGAACATGCATCTTCTGCGCGACAAAAAAAAAAATTAAATAAAATTACGAATTTGATCAAATTGTTTTTAATTAAAAATCAGAAATAATTAAAATTAATCTATAAAAAATTATTCAAGTGTAAGAAAAATATTAAAATAAAATAATTAAAATTATTTTAATGAAAGTGTTATTTGTAATTCTAAACCTAGAGGATAGGATTATGTATGCGGATTTATATAAAATCCTTCTGTGGGGTCACCACGCAGTCTGTGGTTTACTTCATTCTACTCTGAATATTATATAACAATTTGCAACGGTAAAATATGACTATTTAAACTACTTAAACAAAACGGTAAACTTTTGTGAGTCATTCGAAAATAAAAAATCAATGTTTCCGTGCTAAAGTGAATTATAGAAAAGAAAAGAGAGAAGGCCAAATTCTTCCGCACGTTCATTGAAAAATTGCATTTCAACCAAAATAAACTAATTTTTTTATTTACAGAGTCAAATTTTTTTGGCTTAGACAAAATTTGTTTCATTTAAATAAATATTTATTTGAATCAATAAAGAATTATTGCGCTTAGTAAAATATATTTTTTAATAAGCGAAATAATTTTTTGAATTTAAGTAGATATACATAAAAAGAATTTAGAATTCAAAATTTGTGTTTTAATTTTTTATTTACAGATCGAAAATTTATTAGTTTCAACAAAATTTATTTTACTTAAATAAATATTTATTTTAATAAATTGTACTTTAAATAAATATTATTCCGCTAATAATAAATTTTTCGATTTGATAAAAAATATTTTGCAAATGAAATTTTGTTCTTTTTTGTTTCTAACAAAAACTATACAAATTTTAATAAACAATATCGCAATTTACATTATAAATTAACAATAAAATATAAATATAGTTTAATTCTATAAAAAGAATAAACTTTTCTTTAAAAATTGATAAACTGGTTATTTATAAAACGAATGAGAAATTAGATTATAAGCCTATAAGTAATATGCATAGATATGATGAGACACAAAATATATATGCAAAGATAGATTAGTAGGTCATTTCAGTTCATTTGTAAATAACAATTATGTACGCGCGTATAGAGATAAGAACCAACTATTTTCATTTCTTTGCATATTCTTGAGCCATTGAAATCTCTGTCATTAGAATGCATTAAAATCAAAGCGTCAACTTTTACAATCGAGAGGAATTTATTCGTGTCAATAAATTCTTCACAATTTATTTAATGAAAATTTATTATTTTTCACACAAAAATATTTATTTATTGTCAATTTTGTAAAGTTGGACAATTTTTGTCTAAAGAAGAGCAAATAAAAATTGGATCTACAAAAAAAAATTAAGATCAATTTATTTATTTATTCAAAATACACGGGCTTTAAAGCCCAATCGTACCAAGTACTGTTGAAACTTGACAACGTAATAATTAAACTAAATGGCTGCTCTACTATTATTATTATTATTAATATCAAAAATGACACCTTTTGCGCTCTGAATAAAAGAACTAAGGGACACTCCAAAAAAATCCATGAAATCACGGTGTTCATTTCCCTCTCTGCTCAATCTATTGATTGTAGAATTATCAAAATAATTTGTTCTAGCCTTAGATTCAATATAACAAAATTTTTTAAATTCATTTTTTGAAAATTTGTTATTTTCTGCAAAATTTTTCATATCTTGCCAATTTTGTAAAGAAATTTTCTTTTAAAAAAAAATTAAAAACAAACGAAGAAGAAAAAAAAAACAATTTTCCTAAAGAAGCCAAAGAAGAAAAAAATATTTACCAAACATTTATTATTCTCTAGAAAATTCTTGATTTATTTTCAATTTTGTAAATTTAAACAAATTTTCATTTAAAAAAAGAATCCAAAAGTTTGATTTATAAAAAGTTTAATTGAGATCAACTTGAATTATAAATTCTTAAAATTTATTTACTGAAACATTTTCTTTTCTATAAAATTTTTTACTTACTGGTAATTTTTTTAAAGTTAAACGAATTTTGTAGCAAAAAAAATTGGATTTACAAAATTAAGATCAATTATAATTACCTCTAATTTCAACAGAATTGAAATGAAAATATTTCAAAAAAATACTGCATCAAATGATTTATAAGTAAATAACTTTATGGCAGTATAAATTCTTGATATTTAATTTTTATGATAAAATTTATTTAATGAAAGTTTACAATATTTTTTACAAAAATTTTTATTTATTTATCAATCTTGTATATTTAAACAAATTTTTTTGAAAAAAACGCTTATAAGTTGGATTAACAAAAATAAAAATTTATAGATAATTTTGAATTATAAATTTTTTAATTTATTTACTAAAAAAATATATTATTTTCTAGAAAAGTCTTTATTTATTATCAATTTTGTAAATTTTACCAAATTTTTTTTAAAAAAACGAATAAAAGTTTTAAAGGTAAGATTCAGATCAACTTCAATAAATTATAAATTCTTAAAAATTATTTGCTGTAAATTTATTACTTCTTATAAAATTTTCTTTCTTTATTTCAAATTTATTTGTAAATTTAAACAAATTATCTTTAACAAAAACACACAAAAAAATGTTATTTCCTAAAAATTTCTTATTTTTTGGAAAATTTCTTATTTATTGTCAAGTTTGTAAAATTTAAAGAAATTTTCTTGAAGAAAAAGCCCAAAAGTTGGATCTATAAAAAGAAAAATTCAAATCAATTTCAATTATAAATTTTTTAAATTTATTTACTAAAAATTGATTAATTATGTATTTTCTATAAAATTTTCTATTTATTGTCAATTTCATAATGTTAAACTTAGTTTCTACAATTTTCTTTATTTTGTTGTCAATTTTATAAATTCAAACAAAATTTCAAAGAAAATTTTTTTTCAAAAATAAACGCCCAAAAAAAATTAAAATCGTTTTCAATTATAATTCTTAAAATTTATTTTTTGAAATTTTATTACTTTCTATAAAATTGTTGATTTCTTGTCAATTTTCTAAATTTAAACAAATTTTCTTTAAGAAACGCTCGAAAATTGGATCTACAAAAAAAATTAAGATAATTTTCAATTATAAATTCTTAAAATTAATTTTTTGAAATTTTTATTATTTTCTAGAAAATTGTTGATTTATTGTCAATTTTCTAAATTTAAACAAAATTTCCTGAATAAACACCCGAAAATATTGGATCAACAAAAGGAAAAATTAAGATCAATTTCAATTTACAAAAATTTACTTTTTGTTTCTTAATTAATTCTATAGAGATGTGCAAAAATTCGAATTTTACATGGGTTCGAAATTCGAACCAAACCCATGTTAATTCTTATGGAGAGAATCG